TTGAGTACCAGTGTTTCTTCGATAAGGTCTCCATCTTTGCTTTATTCCTTATGTGGAACTCTTACTGTTGGGTATGTGGGATCTCTTGAATTGATACCCTGTTTATTTATTTATTTATTTTTTCTTTCTCATGTCTGTGTTTTTATTTTCTGGGTCCTTTTTTTTTCAACTTATGGTCAGATATTTTGAGTCTTTCATTTCTGCTTTAATGTTTTTAATTTAGCGATAACAGTATTACTGAAATATGATTTACATGTAAAATGCAGCCTTTTGTTGTATACAGTTCAGTGGTTTTAAGTATGTTCACAGAGTTGTACAGCCATCACCACTATGTAGTCCTAAAACATTTTCATCCCCCACCTTCCCCAAGGAAACCCTATACTAATTACCAGTCATTTCCTGTCTCTCCACTCTTCCTCCAGTCTCTGGCAACCACTGGATTACTTTTGGCTCTATTATGGAAAATTCATATGAATGAACTCTAGAATTTACGTGGACTTCTGTAACTGGTAGTCCATGTTGTAGTATGTATCATTGTCAAATAATTCCTGTTGTTTAGATATATGACACTTTGTGAATCCATTCATCCTGTAATGGACATTTACTTTATGTTCACTTTTTGGCTAGTGTGAATAGTGCTGCTATAAATATCAGTGTATAAGTTTGCTGTGGGCTGTGTTTTCTGTTCTCTTGGGTATATACCTAGGAATGGGACTGCTGGATCATTTGATAACTCTATTAAACATTTTGAGGAACAGCCAAACTGTTTTCCATAGTAGCTCTACCATTTTATGTCTTCACCAGCAATGTGTGAGCAATGCATCCAGTTTCTCCACATCTTTACTAACACTTGTTACTATCTGTCTTTTAATTTTTAGCTATCCTAGTGTGTTCATTTTTCATTTTTATTTCACTTTTAATAGCTCTGACTATTCCTTGTAAAAATAACTTGTTTCACAAATCAAACATTATTTATCTCATTAATAAACATTTTTAAAGATTTCTTTTCAGTGTTTGTTTACTTCAGGTTGCTTTTGCTTGTTTTAGTCTCTTTCATATAGCAGGTCTGTCTCATGTTTGGAAATCCTTGCAAAGAGTGAGGGGTGGCTACACTGAGGATGTGGGGCTTTTGGACCCTGAGTGTCATCGCAGGATAGTCTGGTTGGGCCATTTATTGATTGAAGAATATCTGATGTCATTACCTTTGGATCTTATCTCTAAGAAGGTATTTCCATTCTTCTTCTTGGAAGACAGAAGGACTACACTGTTTGGAAACGTAATGGAGAAAAACAGGCAGCCAGTCCTAGACCACTGTGCTTAGGTTTATTTAATCCCTGTGCTTTTGACTTAGTACATACACCTGTCCCAATGGTCCATGGTATTGCAGAGACCTTCAAAAACCAAACCTCCTTCTACTGGATGTGGGAGGAGTGATTTCTTTGAGGCATGGTAGAGGGCTGGGGATTGGGATTAAATGATGATGAGAGGGCCAGGTGCAGTGGCTCACGATGTTTGTAATCCCATTCCAGCACTTTGGGAGGCTGAGGCAGGTGGATCACAAGGTACCATGATAAACATGGTGAAACCCCGTCTCTACTAACAATACAAAAATTAGCCAGGTGTGGTGGCTTGTGCCTGTAATCCCAGCTACTCAGGAATCTGAGGCTGGAGAATTGCTTGAACCCGGGAGGCGGAAGTTGCAGTGAGCCAAGATAGCGTCACTGCACCCCCGCCTGAGTGATAGAGTGAGACTGTCTCAAAAGAAAAAAAAAATGCCTATGAGAAAGTTTACAACTAGTGCTTGTTTTAGTTCCAGCCACCTTCACCTTCTCAAAAGAACCCAGGTTACTGATTCTCAAGCTTGTTGAAGTTTTGCGGTATAAATGGAGTTGGTTCTTTTCCCCACTGCCGGCTTTCTTGGGTACGAAGTCAGCACTCTTGAGTCTGCTTTCCAGTTGCCATTGGTCTTTTATCCTCTTGTCATCCTTGTTGGTTTTGCCTTTTGAAAAAAAAATTTTTTTTTTTTTGACTGCAATTTTAGCTGGTTTTAGGGAGAGAATAAAACAGATGCGTGAATACACCCTCTCTGCCCAGAAATCTGGATTAGGGCCCGCTCTAGTCCGGTATGACCTCATCTTAACCTGGTCGTAACTGTAAAGACCCTATTTCTAAATAAGGTCATTCTGCAATACTGTGAGTTAGGACTTCAGCATGTCTTTCCTGGGGCAGGTCATGATTTAACATTTAACAGATGGTGACCCAACAATTTTGTACCTAGCAAAGTATTACTCATGCATGAGAGGTGTTCCTGGTTTACTGCCTCCTTACGCTTTTTAGCAAGGGAAAGACATCCTACTAATTTTAGTGCAGAAACGGTATATGCATATCACTTATGAACATAGATATAAAAAAAAAGCCTAAGTAGGATATTGGGGAATTGAATGCATAGTGTGTTTAAATAGTGTTCACATAGTATTTGGTTACTTTTATCCCCAGGAATGTAAGCCTGCTTTATCATTAGAAAATCTATAAATAAACGTAAGCCTGCTTTATCATTAGAAAATCTATAAATAAACAGAGAAAAATACATATTCAAACTAAATAGATCTAGAATTTTATTTGACGAAGTTTGGTGCCTGTGCATGAAAATCTTTCAGCGAACTTTGTAGATGTTTCATAGCGTGGTTAAAGGATATCAGCCAATAACCTGGAACAGAGCAAATTTAATTAATTCATTCCAACTGAAGACAAAGATAACCTGTTACCACCCCTACTATTCAGCATTGTGCTGGAGCCTTAGTCATTTCAGGAAAGAGGGCAAATGAAGTGTAAGCATGAGTAAAGGAAGGATGAAATTATCAGCAAATGTCAAAATTATTCACATAGCACATCTAAGAGAATCTGCAGATACATTATTCACTGCGGGATTAACTTTGCAAATATTTAGATCTTTTGTGTGTATGTTTATGAGTGACGTTGTAAAATGAGCAAGTCTTAGTCAACAAACAAAAATTAGTAATATTTCTGCATATCCATAATAACCAATTAGGAAATGTAGTATAGCAAAAACAACAATGTGAGGCTAGTACTCATGCTAGTGATAAAAACAAATTAACCTTGGGTGTAAAAGCTAACCAGGATGTAGAAAACATCCTTCAGGAATGCACAGAGGAAAAACAGAAGAAATTATCACTGTGTTTTGATTTTATATATGCTGCCAAAATGCTCTTCAGGTACTACCGATGAATTTATTTTCCTTACATCCTTAATATGTTTATTTCAGTCTAGCCTAGTGGATGAAAAGTAAATTTTTGTTATTTTAGTTTGCATTTTCCTGATATGAAAAAGGTAGAATACCTTTTCTTAAAAGTCTGTTGTCTATTCTAGATTCTTGATCTGTGAATTGACAGTTTATATCCTTTACCTTTTTCAGTGTAAACCTCTTAATACATAAGTCCGGTCCAGCAGTACCAGTATTTAGACTTTATTCTCAGGAAAAATAGAATTGTCTGACAAGGGAATAGGCAAGGAAATTCATGGCGTGCTGTCTGTAAAGACTGGAAAAGGACCTAAATGTCCCTCAACAGCAATTTGACGGATTAAGTACATCAAAAAATATATTTGTGTATGCGGTGGCCGTTCTGAAAGTTGAAAGTTAACAACATACTTAAGAGTGATTTTTGACAGATGGTGAGACAACAAGAGAGCTTACACATTTGACTTTATATATTTTAATATGTAGGTGTTTTAACAGATATATAACATCACTGAGAAGAAAGGCAGATGTTATTATAAGGGGAAATATTACTGTAACTATTAAAATAATTTGGATTAACTAGCAAAAGACATTTTTGGGATAATCAGTGAAAATCGAACATAGTTTGGATAATATCAAATTATTACATGTGTTGGGTATAAAAGACTGTTATGGTTATGTTTAAAAGTAAGCCCTTATTTCTGAAGTATTTAGTGCTGGAAAAAGGAGACATTAAAGGAAAGAAGTCAGTTAATAAAAAGAAAAAATTAGCTCATTTTAAAATCCTAGGAACATTATAACAGTATAACTAGGGATGTTTTTCGTTTCAGATAGATAGCAATAATTTAGAGCCAAATTTGTGGTTGGTCCCTAAAGAGTAATATAGATGTGTGTATACACATACACACACACACACACACACACACACTTGTGTGTGTGTGTGTGTATATATATATATATTTTGTTTTATTTATTTATTTTTTTGAGACTGAGTCTCATTCTGTTGCCTAGGCTGGAGTGCAGTGGTGCGATCTCGGCTCACTGCTATCTTCGCCTCTTGGGTTCAAGTGATTCTCCCGCCTCAGCCTCCGGAGTAGCTAGGATTCTAGGCACCTGCCACTACACCTGGCTAATTTTTGTATTTTCAGTAGAGACAAGGGTTCACCAAGTTGGCCAGGCTGGTCTCGAACTCCTGAACTCAGGTGATCCACCTGCCTCGGCCTCCTAAAGTGCTGGGGTTACAGGCGTGAGCCACTACGCCCAGCCTAGATTCTTATATATGTTTTCATTTAGTCTTAGTCCATTTTAATATTTCTATTCACCTCCTCCATGGTTGTGTTGTTGTTATTGTTTTTTTTATAATTTATGTGTCTTTTTGGGTAGTCTTTAATCCTCTGAGAAACATTGCAGGGTAAAGGTTGATTAATAGTCAATTTTTATTGTGATTGATAGCAAACTAAAAATAGTTAAATATGCATTGGGCTCCGTGACTAACTGCACACAGTAAAAGCATATTTACAACTAACTACCTTCTGTTAAAGGAGTACTGTCATTCAGATAAACAGGTTTAGAGAGAGGCAGCATGGGCTCAGACTGTGCTCATATACAGTATAAATGATACATTTACGTATTTCTATATGTAATTATTAAAATGCTTAGATTCGATAATGCTACAGAAATGAATTACACTTAAAATAATTGCATGTGATCAAAGCAAACAGCTGACTGACTTTTTTTCTTTCAGAATTTGAATGAATATGTTGAGGCATTAATTACCTTGAAACAAAAAATTATCAATACAGAGTAAGTATATTTTCATGTTTGGCAGACCTTTGTAAAACCTGACAAACTGGCTGAAGCAGGCGGTGCTTTTAGGCCCCAGGGCTGGAATGAACATTAGAGTTTCTCCTTTGGCGGCCTACATGGTGCTGATAATAAAACTCCCCAGGAGCTTTGGGACTTGAACCTTTTGTCAGAGGTTCACAACCCTTTAAAACAAAGCTCATGGGTTAGTAGGAAGTTATTTTTACTAAACTGGACTTTTTTTAAAAGCTGTTTTCTGTCTTCAAAACTTTAGCTTTACTGCTGGACCTCAAACCTCCCAACAGTATTTTATAGTCATGGTGTGAGATTTACTGTTTTTTTTTTTTTTTTTTTTAGCTTTGTAATAGTCTCATGAATGTAGGAGCCAAGATATTACTCAGATCAAAAGGATTCTAAATAAAAGGCTTATATGTCAATGCGATACTTTCGGGAAATTTAAGGTGATACAGTCATTAATTTAGCATACTTTTTTTCAGGAAATGTAGGAAGTCTAGAGGGTACTGTGCATGGTTTGAAACATCATTTTAACATAGTATATTTTCTGAATTAAAAAGTAACCTAATTCTTCTTTTCTTTGTTGCAGTAATTTGTTAACAGAATATCAGAAGAAATGTGATGATATCCTTTTACTGGCATTTCTGGTGAATTTTGGAATTGTGTATAATTCCTGAAAGAGATGGGGGAATTGTTTATCATAGTTGCCTTTTGGAAGATAGTACTTAAAGGCTTAAGTAGGGAGTGCATCTCACAAGCACAGTAAACACGTTTAATGATGAGTTTTAAAATGGGGAGGTTATTTTTCTTGTTGATTGTGATTTTCTTAATGTCTCATAAGCTTTATAGGGGTGCGTTTCTCTAATTTGTACTGATGATGTAACTTTTTTAGGTTTAAGAATAATGTGAAACTGAATGTGATACTATCTGAATGTTATTTTTTGAATCTACACGAATTACAGTATGGGAAATGTAAAATGCTGGGCAATTGACTTTCATTATTTTTGTGATTTATAGGGAAGGGGTGTGTGTGTGTGTGTGTGTGTGTGTGTGTGTAACACTCCAAAATCATTTAGAAATAGTGTAACTGTGTATTCATGAATGCTCTTGGGCTGTCACTAGACAGTTCTTGGCCTTACACTCACCATTTGTTTGATAGCCATTTAATGAGCTCGGTTGTGGAGTTACTGTCTACTCAGGTGTTTTTTACACCTGAGTAGTGGGAAAAAAGATGTGTGTAATTTTTCCTTTCATGCCTTGCAGTGATAACACCTTGATTTAAATCTCGCCTATAAACACATAGTTTCTCTCATAAAATAAACATATGCATACCTTTAGGGGGTCCCTGAAATTTAGCTTCATGTTGGATGTCAGGACAGATTCAGCTGTTCAGCTTTGGCAATAACTTGAGGCCTACTTGAATATTATTTCTGGCATACCCGAACTTACATGTCATCACCAGTTATTTATTTGTGTTGGTACCATCTGTACTAGTTCATTCTCATGCTGCTATGAAGGACTGCCCGAGACTGGGTAATTTATAAAGGAAAGAAGTTTAATTGACTGAGTTCCGCATGGTTGGGGAGGCCCCAGGAAACTTACAGACCTAGTGGAAGGGGAAGCAAACATGTCCTTCTTCACTTGGTGACAGGATAGAGAAGTGCAGAGTGAATTGGGGAAAAACCCCTGATAAAACCATCACTATCAGGAGGTTCTACCCTAGCATGTGGGTATTACAACTCGGATTACAATTCAAGATGAGATTTTGGGTAGGGACTCAACCAGACCATATCACTATCATTTCTAATTTGTGTGAAAAGAGTAGTACAATTAAGAGATATCCTTTAGATTTATTTTTAGCATCTGAATTTTTACATTCAAAAATAAAGGTCATTGGAAATCTTCTCACATGCTTTATTTGTTAAAACCATCAGTCTGTTTAGCTGTATATGCACATTGTTGCAGGAATGATTACCTTCAGTTGTTAGCAAAAGGGGTATTGTCTTTAATTAGTTAAAGGTGTATGGAAACAATTATTGCAACTTTTAGATAAACAAATAGGGAAATAGGTGAGCAGTTCCAGTATTAGGAGAGTATGTGTTTATTATATCATTCTTGGAGAAAATATGAAAACTTTTTGAGGTAACTTATACATGTAACCTAGCAGAGAAATAACTTTTACTTTTCTAAGTTTGGCCAGAAACATTTTTCAACAAAAATTACCAGAGTTCTTTTTTAATGGGTAAAACTTGATTATTCCTGGATTTCAGAAGTTCGATTCTCTGATATATTTGGCTTTATTGTCAACTACAGATAAATACGTAACTTTAAAATAATATGTTTCACATTTGTTCCAAATACGCATTTGTTGTCTGTCAAATATGCAGTAGTTTTTCCTGCAACTTGAAGTACCAGTGTCACAGGTTTAACATGGCTTTCAAAAACACAATTTGGTTCCTTTTGCTACTAAAGTAGCAATGCATTTTCCCATTTTTCAAGATGGGAAAGTTATTTCTTCAATAACAACACTATGATACTTCAGTATTTCACCTCTTTTTTCTGTAATCCTGACCACTTTATTATCGTCACCTCTTTCTAAATGGCAAGGAGTGTATTTTATTTCGTCAGGTATTTTTTGAACTTTTCTTTTTTGCAAAGACTACTTTAAGATTAATAAAATATAGTTCTTGGCCTTCGGAAGCCGTCAGAAGCTTACATTCTAATAGAGGAGGATGCAGATGTGTTTTTATGAACATACATGTGCTATATTGTGGTATAAGTACAGGAATTCCTAGGAGAGGAAACGTAAAGGAATTGTTTTTTTGCTATCTTAGAATATTTTACTGGCAGCATGAAATGGTAAAATAAGTTTCTCAAATTATATAAATTGTAAAAGAAGAGAGCTTGTGTAGATTTTATGATCTATTTTCTAATTACAAAGGATGGTTATATATGGTTTTCATAAGTACATAACTCTTGTTTGCTGGAATTATTCTCTGCACTATTTGAAAAATGAAGGACAGGTTGTTTGGGGATTCTGCCATATAGAGAAATCAAGGTATTATCTATTAGTTGAGTATTGCTTTGTCTTTATTCTTTTCATTCTAATCATACATTTATTCACTGAACTCTTTTAGAGGAAAAGATGTTTTGACTTTTGGTACATGTTATGAGGGTCAACGGAAATAACTCAGTAAAAAGACTCACTACTGTGTTAGAGATTGCATATGGAATATCATTTTCAAGCATTTGTGATCTTGCCTGTATGTATATTGAATACAAGTTATTAAAGATAATTGTGAAGTGAGTTTTATCTCCAGACAAGTTTCGGAAGATAAAATTCTCAGAGTTTTCTTTAATAAGTTTTACAGCTGCAGTTTGCGAGAAGGTGAGCCAACGTGTTCTCATAGCTGATGATACCACGTATTTGAGTAGTTGATCTGAGATAGACATTTACTATAGCAGATTTTTAAGCAGCTTGGAGCAAAATGTACATAGGATTGACCCGTAATATAGAATGCTGCTTTGATGCGCAGAGTAAAAGGAATTACTGTTAAATTCTTCAAATGAATTTGTTACTAAGGTCTTAAATTACAACCTGGTGTTGCACTTTTCAGTAGCTTTTACTGACTGCATTGTCATTGAAATGAACAAATTAACTGTTGTTTACATGGTTCACACTATTTAACTTGGTTGTTAAACAATTTAAAATCGACCTACATAAAATTGTGGCACTGTTTCATTCTCTGATTGGCTTCATCACCCAAAAGAAGGGGAAACATGGTTATAAACTAAACCATAAAATTGCCTATCACTTAAATTGAATAAATGTGTATGAACTTAGGACTGAAGATTGAAACAGCAAGATTATCAGCCAGGCCCTTTGAGTGATTTTACTGTAAAGTATTCTTCAGCAGATTAAGAATCTGCTGTACTTGTTTCTCACAGGGCTTTTTGGTAGACTTTTATCAGAAATAGATTACTAGGCTGGGCACAGTAGCTCATGCTCGTAATCCCACCACTTTGGGGGGCCAAATAATAATCATAGTAGTAATAGTACTATTTAATAGTAAAATTTTTATACTATTAAATTTTTTTTTTAATTAGCTAGGTGCGGTGGCACACAAATAGTAAATAGTGCTACTTAATAGTAAGATTTTTTTTACTATTAAAACTTTTTTATTTAGTTAGCCAGGTGTGGTGACAGACACCTGTAATCCCGGCTCCTTGGGAGGCTGAGGCAGAAAGATTGCTTGAGCCTGGGAGATTGCGGCTGCAGTGAGCCCTGGTGGTGCCAGTATCCTCCAGCTGCTGTATTCCAGCCCAGGTGACAGACTGAGACCCTGACTAATGGAATATAAAAAAGAAAAGAAAAAAAAAATACTATGCCTAGGAAATAAAGGCAATGTGGAGACCATGTTGGTGTAGAGAACAATGCATTTAAAAAGATTTTTTTCATTTTTCTTTTGTTCCAAGTTAGAAATAAAATCTGAAATTGTAAGTACATATATTTAATAATTCATTATACATGCTTTTCTGTAATAATGTTAATTAATTGTCTTTAGAGAGAACAGTAATCTGCATCACCAAGTAGAAGAGATGCTTCAAAAAATTTCTCCTCTGCAGAAGTGTCAGGAAGAACTGGGATCTTTAAAAGCAGAGCTAGAAGAGAAAAAGGTACCAACAATAATTTTCCATAAAGGTTTATGGTCGGCAAATTAGGATCAGCTTATTCAGTATAGTTGGCACAGGGGGGCTTTCGATGTGTTTAAAAAAGGAATAAAGAGGAGTCAGGACTCTCAGTGTATTTCTATCTTTAGAGAACATGGAGCTAACTGCTTAGTAGCTTAGTCTTTTCAATGACTATTAGCTCTGCAGTACTGTTAGTTGCTTATGCTTTTTGAGAGGGTCAGCAGAGGAAACTTCTAGCTGTGAATTAGTGAGTGAATTAATTCTACATTACTTGATTACTCTTTTTTTTTTTTTTTTTGCTTAAGTGTAAAATAACATGCAAAACATAAACTTTAAAGGTAAAGGAATCGTTGTGCACAAGAGGGAGCAGGAGAGAATTCTATTTCTTCAGTGGCTCTAGTCTAGCCCTGGAGAGCCTTGTGGTGAAGGCTGTGTGCAGGGCTCCTGCTCTGGTATAAGTTAAGAAGTCCTTTAGAGAACCTACTCTCATCATTCATAAACTAGTCGGTATTTTAAGCAATGTCCATGTACTTTACCTCTGTAACCCTAACAGCTTTGTTTGGTCCCTTTTTTTTCCATCTCTAGTGTTTTTTTCTTTTTTTGGCAATCATGTCTAGTCTCTGGTGGTTTCTCATTGTCTGTGAGAGGTACACAAAAACTGAGTCTTTCAATAATGCTTTTATAAGTAAGTGTTTAGGTTAGGGGTTATTTATTTTACTCAAGGGGGTGTGTTTGATCTTTCCGGGTGATACTTACTAAGCTGAGATGAAGCACTGGAAGAAGATGCCCACTTCAGATATGAAAATCCGATACATACATCCTTTCATGGAAGCTCTTCTTTTCAAAGTCAAGTTGCAGTAAAACAGTTTGTTTGAAAATGCTGTAAACTTGCTTTTCTATATAAATTGTTTACTCCCTACGTAAATCTTAGAATTCATAGCTTTTACAGATAAAAACATTTCAAGTCCATTGATTTAAGTGGTTTGCACAAGATAAATAGCAGCCACTCTGGAATGATTCTCATTTCTTAACCTCTTCTCTTTAGGCTCTTCTCACGGTAGTGTTTGTGTCTCTCAGTCTTCCTCAAATTGTGCTATTGTAGTAGTGACATGTAGCTGTCTGAGGGCTTATGTGCTTTAGTAGTATATATTCATTTTCCTCTTAATATAGAGATTCTTGCAATATGTGTAACTATGCTGTCAAACTGATATAATCACAGGGTTCAATGATCTCTACCCTGGTTATATAATCTTTTCAGCCATATTTGAGAAGAAGCATGAAGAAGAGTCAGACCTTAATGTCATTCAGTCACTGTCTTTGGAAGAATAAGTCAGCCTGTCAAACCCTCAGATTTCTCATTTTTAAAAGAGAATAATGAAGCTGTTGAGATTAAAGATATCTCTCAGAGATGTTGAGATTAAAGAAATGTACATGTGCATTTCTTTAGTTTAGAACCCTCAGTAACAGTGTCTTTCCCATTGTTTAGTAGCTGTCAGGGTGTATATATCAGTAAATATCAGTGTCTACACATTTTCCCCAGTTATTAAGTATAATGATTTGTTTTATATCTTTTCCTAGCAATACCAATAGCTAATATTTATTATGCTCTAATATTTATTCAGGATATACTGAATTTCAGTTAGTTGAGACAAAAATATTAGCTGTTTGATATTTAAACCAATTATGAAGATAAAGAATTGCAGTAAAATTAGTACATTGTTTTTAAGTTTTACAGCATTTGTTTGATTATAAGCCATGGTTACCTCTATTAAAATATTCAGTGAATTGTACTTTGGTTTTCTGCCTCATATCTGCTCATTCGGTTAATAGTTTATCAGGGTCAAAGCAAGTTACAACCAACGGTCAATGCCTTTCATTTTGACAGTACTTGTTTTTTTTTCTTATAAGAGTTCTTTAAAGTTATATCAGGATACTCATCAGGAATATACTCGTGTAAAGGAAGAATGCTTGAAGAGTGATGCTCAGTAAGTAGTTATTTAATTACTATACAAGGAGGGTTTTCATTTTTGAAAATGCATAATTCTTAAGTAAATAGTGTTTCCATTTTACAGTCTTTGGATTTCTTGGTCATAATTAGCTGCATGGTCTTGAACTAGTTAGTCACTCAACCTTGGTTTCCACATCTGTAAACTGGAAATTGTGTCTACTTTGAAGGGTCATAAGGAACATTAAATAAATTGTCATATGTTAAAGGGCTGCACAAAGAAAGAACTCCGTGAAGGTGTTTGTGTATATATATGCGTGCACATGTGTCTGTGTATGTCAGAACATGGTTTCTGATCCCTTGCTTTGTATCAGTGCTTTAACTGATAGCATGTGGAATGGGTGTCTTTGTTACTATTCATAAAAAGGGCTGTTCAAAAGCATCCCATTGATTGTTGAGTTTCATACCATAGTCACGTTATTCACAAAATAAATGTGAGCTATACATAAAACAGTTGAATATAGATGGAATGAAGCAGTGACTCCATTACCTACCTTCTCAGACTCTCAGAAATCCATCTTAAAACAAATGCAGCTCTCCAGCCACCGCTTCTCATGCAGGGGTGCTGTGACCACTGTTAACACCATGCGTGCCCCTGAAAAGTGACCTTAACTCGTTAGACTCTGGACTGACCTTTAGAGACGATCTAGACACTTCGGCTAGATGATACCAGTGCAGTTCAGGAAAGGTCTCACGTGTACTCATGGCAGAGACTCGATAGGCCCATGGCATGTGTTTCAAGTAGAAAGGACAGAATTTTTTAATCCACTGTAAAGATACTTCACACTAAATAGTATATTATTCTCTCTTAGGATACTAGTTCAGACTGAAAATTTCTTTGTTATACAAATATTAGTAATTAAAAAAATATGTTCCACAAAATATAAGAGCATATTTTTTTCCTGTTCTACCCTCTCTTGCCATTTAACTTACACAATTTCATTCTTAGGAAGAAGAAACTGGAAGCTAAGGTGAAAAAGCTGCAAGGTAAGTGGCGCTATCCTGACCTGAAGTTTTTGGTCATTATAGAAATCACTGGTAACTGTATGAGGAGGTACTTCTTGATCAAATGGTTGAATCTTTGTGGTTTTTGATGGTCCATCCATGGATGACTGCGTCAAGGGGTCTGTTAGAAGTGTGACTACTACACTCTTCTCGGTTACCAAATGATAACGTAAAGATGGAATGTGGCAAACCTCTGAAATGTTACTGCATTCAAAATAATAGCAGCCCATACTTTTGCTATTAAAAGCAGTAATTAAAGAATTTAATTTGGAAAGTTAAATCTCATAGGGCTTTCTCTTTTATTCTTAAGGAAATAAGTGGCCGGTAGAAAGCATTACTATTTTTAGTACCAAGAAACTGATGTATTTAGATAGTTATAACATACTTAAAGAGAGATATCTATGAAAGTTTTTACATTAGGGATTATCCAGTTTGTACCTGATCCTCCCTCATGCCCTATCCTCTTGTTAGGGGCTTCTGGCCTACAGTAAGTAGGTACGAGTGCAGAGGGACCAATGTGAGAATCTGAGTCCTCATTTCAGCTAATAACCCTTCAGGAATTGGCTGAACTCAAGATCTCTTTATTTGCTCTTTCCTCCCTTCATTGTGTGGTTGGGACACAGACCTAATACCAAGTAGAGACAAAGGGGCTGTGTCCCGTCCACCCTGCACAGCCCCATCGGTCTTCCTGTCATTCCCGCCTGCACTGCAGGGCATCTTAACCTGCTGTGGGTTTCTGACTGATTGCCTTGCTGGAGTTCTACTTCAGAGATGGTTTGTATTCATTTACAGTGTGAAGTAAGAATTTGAATTTAGTTGCATCAGGGTACATAGAATAATAGTTGCTGAAAATATTTCTAGTCACTAATTTGTCAAGATTGAGCCACATTTTTTGGACTTAAACTTTATAAATATTTTGGTAACAGTTGTTCCTCTGATTTGATTATTGCACGAACACTGACAGTATGGCAGTAAGAATGATATTACTGTGTTCTTTCTAAGTATTGGTGTCTCTTGTTGGAATGCGGAGATGAGTGTCTACTGTATTTAAACAAATGTTTTTTAAAAACAAATTTAAACTTTTTATTTATTTTATTTTTTGAGACACGGTCTCAGTCTGTCACCCAGGCTGGACAGGTGGTGCGATCACCCAAGTGGTATGATCTCGGCTCACTGCCACACCTGCCTTCTTGGTTTAAGAGGTTCTCCCACCTCAGCCTCCTGAGCAGCTGGGACCACAGGCACACGCCACCAAGCCTGGCTAATCTTTTTGTATTTTTGGGTACAGATGGGCTTTCACCATGTTGGCCAGGCTGGTCTCGAACTCCTGACCTCAAGTGATCTACCCTCCTCAGCTTCCCAAAGCACGGGCATTGCAGGTGTGAGCCACTGCACCTAGCCACATTTTTTATTTAAAAATAAAAATTTCTTTTTTTTTGGAGACGAAGTCTCACTATATCACCTAGACTGGAATGCAGTGGCGTGATCTCTACTCACTGCAACCTCTGCCTCCTGGGTTCAAGTGATTCTCCTGCCTCAGCTTCCAGAGTAGCTGGGACTACATGGCATGTGCCACCATGCCCAGCTAATTTTTTTATATTTTTAGTAGAGATGGGGTTTCACCACGTTGGCCAGGCTGTTCTTGAACTGCTAACCTCAAGTGATCCATCTGCCTCAGCCTCCCAAAGTGTTGGGATTACAGGCATGAGTCACTGTGCCTGGCCCACTTCTTTTAATTTTTAAAGACAGGGTTTCACTGTGTTGTCTAGGCTAGAGTGCAGTGGCAAAATCATAGCTCACTGTAACTTTGCCTTCAAGCGATCCTCCAGTCTCAGCCTGCGGAGTAGATGGGACTATACGTGTGTGCTACCACACCTGGCTAATTTTTAAATTTTTCTGTAGAGATAAGGTTGTACAGGCTGGTCTTGAACTCCTTGGCTTGAGTGATTCTCCTGCCCTGGCCTCCCAAAGTGCTGATACTACAGATGTGAGCCAGTGTGCCCAGCCAAGGAATTTTTTTTTTTTTTTTTGAGACAGGGTCTCACTCTGTCACCCAGGCTAGAGTGGAATGGTGCGGTCATGGCTTACTACAGCCTCAGCCTCCCAGACAGAGGTGATTCTCCCACCTCCCGGGTAGCTGAGAACTACAGGTTTGTGCACTTCGCCATGCTAATTTTTTGTAGAGACAGAGTTTCACCGTGTTGCCCAGGCTGGGCTGGTACTCCTGTGCTCAAGCAATCTGCCCAGCCTCCCAAAGTGCTGGGCTCACAGTCATGAGCCACTGCAAGGAAATGTCTTTAAAGAAATCTGAAGTGACCCTGAAACTATATATGTAGCTTTTAGAACAGATTTTCTGTGAAGCAAAAATGTCGCCTTTATTTTTCATGTATCAAAAGTATTTTTTCTAGTAAAAAAAATTTATCAGTGTGACTTAATAAAGATTACTGAGTAAAGAAATACCCAGGCTCGTTAGAGGAGTCGGGAGAGGATTGTTACTGAGGTGTTTCACGGGATTTGACTTAGTAATTGTATATGAGCATATTTATGTAAAGTCAATACTGGTCAGATTCTTAATACTATGTCTGGACCATTTGAGGATTCAGAACCAAAAATCAGAAAGAAGGATTTGCGGAAGGTCTAGAGAACTGTGAAAATACCTAAAACTAGATCCTAGGGATTATGTTTAGCTAACTTGTTGAAGAGAATTCTGGGGAGGAATAATTCTAGATCTATAATAAGCATTGAGAAGACTGCCTCTCCCTCCCTCATAAAGACACTATAGTCTGAGATAAAATCGCGTTTCTAAAATTTCTAAGACTTTAAGGCTTGTGATTGAAATGGGGAGGCACCTCCCTCTTATGCCTTGAATTCTTTCCTAACTAGAGGTTGGGATTGCTGTGCCTAGTTTGGAAAGGATTCTTAAGGCCTGTGCTAATTCTTTGGTTTGATAAATGACAGTTAAAGATAAAAGTGTATTACAGTCAGCCCTGATGATAAAATATTAAAGGAACAATGGCTTTTTACAAAATTTATTTCAAAGTTTTAAGAAATGAGAAAAACTTGTAATAGATAAGATTTTGAGCATTTCATTAACCATGGTAGTAAAGTTAGTAAATCATTTTTCTCTCTCTATTGCTTCTTTGGACTTAAAGAGGCTGCTGTCAAGCAAACTCAGGACTTCAAGCAACTGAGAAATGAAAAGAAAATACTTGAAAAGGAATTTAAGAAGACACAGGTACTAGATGAAAGCAGCACACACACACCTTAACTATGTGGCCCCAGGGCTCCTGGCCTGTCTTGTGTTGTAACTCATGAAGGAGTCAGGCATGAGGCCACCTGGCAGAAACAGGTGCCTGATAAGTTGCACCTGTTTTACATTTGGTCTAGAATGGCTGCACTTCTTACCCAGCATAAACACTAGTAGTGTTTTGTTTTCACAGGAAAGGCTGGACGAATTTTCTAAACAGAAAAATGAAAAGGGTGAGTAGTCAGTTAATGCTTACATAAATTTCTTTTTGATATGTAGTATTCTATTGACTATTTTTTTCCCATGCTTTTAGAGCTGAGACATATTGGAACACAAATTTCGAGTGATTCATATGGAAGCATAGATAAAAGTGAGTATATTGCAACTTTTGTTTTAATGTTGTGTATTACTCTTAGTGATTTGGGAGGCTGTGTTTTGCTCTTACATACAATCGTGAAAGTTCCAGGGCTTAATAGATGTTTCCTTTTAGTAGAAGTCATATGTTGTTGTGTCTTCCTTAGATCCAAATATAATCAGCTTATTGTCTTATAAAGTAATACAATGAATAAAAGAGTCAAAAACCAATATTGTTTGGGATAGGAAAACTAGTTGGAAATATATCTGCTCTTTTTCATTAATAAATATAGATTTTCTCTCTGGATTATAATTTATCAAATTAATTTATTAAATTTCCTAGGTACTAAGTATATTAAACAATTTTGAAGTCAGTCAGGAAAACTGTAAAGTTAAAGCCCTGTAGTATATTTTCAGAAGACAGAAAAATTTAGGGAAGGCCCACAGTTGAAAACAAGAGTGGTGGCCAAGGAACAAGGGAATGTAATACAGATGTGGACACGCTGCCTCACTGGGCGCCACATCCCATAGGTGAGAAGCAGAACTCTAGAAGGGGAGAAGTGAGAATTTTTACTTTAATCCTTCCATTCGTTGTGACTCTTTGTTATTTACTTCCCTTTTTTGTGTGTTTTTATTCTTCCTTTTAAAAATGGAAATGTGAATTTGATTTTCTGCTCTCACAAGTTTTTTATGGGGATGCATTTAAAATGTTTAGTAAATAATTGTATTTCATCTTACTAATGTGTTTTTTTTTCTTCAAGTGGAAATGATTAAAAACATTTACATTGTATGCAAGTATATGGTGTCTCTTTGAGAACTCACCTTTACCTTTTTCTCTTTAATTTTTTTTTAAATTCAGAGCACAAGTTCATGTTTTCCTTGGTGTAAGGATTTAACATTTCCCCCTTTCACTGCTGGGGCATTGATTGTTCACTTCCCACTGTCACTAACATAGGATTCCGTATGCTGTTGACTATATTCTTCCTTCTCTTGTGTTTGGAAAGTGGGACTTTAAGTAATAGTATTGCTGAGAGAAATAGAAGACTTGACATTTTGCTTTCCCATTCATTAGTCAGCTGTTGAATGGAATTATCTTTGTTTTTGGACTGACAGATTTGTTTTACTATTCAGCTATTCCCAAGTCTTACTATTCAAAGCAGAACACTTCGATCCTCTTTCTGTAGTTGCTCTTTATACCTACATTCTGTTATATTTTTTTCAAATAACTTATTACTCTCTCAAGTAAAATTGTCTTATGTTTTGTTTCTGTCTGCCCTCTTAATCACGGCAGGCGTATTGTCTGTTGTACGTTTTTACTTTTTCCAAATATATAAATAAAGTTTTTAGGAATCTGCTAATTATTTAGCTATGGACCTTGATGGGTTTATCTTTAATTCTTAAGTGTATTGTTAACACTAATACTTACACAAAAGATTTGCAAAGTAGGCACCAGAGTATTAGGTTGACTTCAGTTTACAAAAAAAAAAGGCTGTCTTGAGTGCCACTTTTTGCCTTTTCTTTCAAATTCCAACAAAAGTGACCAGAAACAACATAAACAAAAAAAAAAATAGCAACAACTCCTGGCTAGTTACAAAGATTACCATCAGTAGAAGAAATGAGAAAGAAGCACAGCAGATAGTATCAATTGGTGATGAAACCCACAACGGCAGAGAAAATAGCAGCTCTCACAAAGTCAGTTTCATTGCAGAAGGAGCAAGTTTCCCCATATCAGAGGTGGCAGGGAGTGGGAGAAGGAGCAGGGCATTAGCATTTTGCCAGGTAATTGATTAAAGGTTGAAAGGAATGCCAACCTTCTGGTTTCAAAAACCATTTCTGGCCTTTGCTCATAAACTGTGGCCCAGTTTAGTTTTGTAAAGTTTTAGCTATGACAGGCGAGTGCCTCGTACTGGTTGTTTATATCAGAAAATTGGGTAATTATGGCCACTTTAAGGGCTAACCCCTCCTGTTCTCAAAAAATAAGATGTTTATATACTTCATCTAAAACCTCACAACTACACCCACTTTCCACTGCTTCCCTTGCAAGGCAGGACCCCACAGGTTTATGAAATGAGAATCTACATTTATTGCTAAAGGAATAGCACTTTTAAAAATGTAGGCTGAAGAAATATACTTTGTCTACCAAAGATGTTCTGCCTAAACTCTCATCTAAAACTTAGAGAAAAAGAAGTGACAAGAAAAAAAAAAAAGAAAAATAATAGATGCAAGAAGACTGAGAGAAGCAATCTCTAATCATGAATGAGAAGGAAATGCTGAAAACTGATTTCATTGCCTTTAGAGAAAGGCTATGAACATGTCCATAGACTACTGCTATGGAATTGAACCTGCTGGAGATCTTGAAAATCAGAAATCCAATTGCATAAATAAAATTAACCCAGTAGAAAAGCGGAAATACTGGACGGACAAATAAAAGATCAATTAAGTTGATTCTAGAGACTGAATCGTAGGTGGTGGCTGAGAACATGGTACAAATGGACAAACAAAGGTATTAGAGAAAATAACAACATTTGAAGGATAGAACCAGATGTCTCAATATTGCATCTCTTAGGACTTCTCAGAGGGCAGAACAGAACCATAAGCAGAGAAGGTGTTTGAGACATGACAGAAGGAAGCTTCCTGAACAGAAAAAAAATGTAGTATTCATGCTCATAGCGGCCACCAGGTGTTGAGCATGATTTTTGTATACAGTCTCCATCTCTGACACTTTCATAGGAAATATATCTAAAATCAGATGAAACAGAAAGACTGAATATTATAGGCATGGATAAAAATATTCCAGGCTATACCAACATTAAAGCAGTCATGTAAGTCAAAAAATAATAAATGTTTAGAAATGAGTTTACATGATTGAAACGTTGATTAAAAGTGTAGTTCACGAAGAAGATACTGCTAGTATCTAAGAATGTGAAAGGAGGTCAAGCAATACTCTTGGAAATCTAGGGGAACTGGCCACATCTATTCTCATCACGAGAGGCTTCAGTATGTTTTTCAGAAAGAGTAAAAGCAGACAAAGGATGGAATTGGAATCACAGTTCCAAGGTGGATAATTTATATACACCTCTTTGTAAACCACACATCTGAATTTTGTTAAAATACTTTTCAAACATGTAAAAATTGACAAGTAGACAATTAAAAAAACTTCAATTTAATATGAGCTATTAATCAAAATCCCCCTCCCCCTGCATAAACAAAACTTGTGAAACGTACCTGGTAACTAAACCCACATAAACACAAAAAATCCTCTCTTGGGTAACAGAGAAAATAAGAAACCGTTTTGGAAGTAAACAGCAGGGCAATATTTACTAAAGTCTTGAGATGTAGCCAATTTCTTGACTATTCAGAGGAATATGTTATGGCCTTAAGTGATACATTGTCACTTTAGAAAATAAGAAATACAGAAAATGAAGTGTTTAACTGAAGGAAAAAATTGATGAAGATGCAAATTTAATGAAATAGGAAACACAGCAATTGATTTAGGACAATTAAATCTGATAGCTGGTTGTTTACAATGCAGCTGAAACCAACAACTTGGTAAACTCTTTGGTTAATCAAACAAAAAAAAAAAAGGAAAATACCCAATAGCACCGGGATTGACAAAACTTTAAAACTGCAGTAGAGAAATTTTTTGATTCACAAGTTCATATTCAGATGTGAAAATGTAGATGGAATGGTCCATTTTCTAGGAAAACACGCTCAAATTGACTCATACAGTTGCCGCAAACCTGAATAGAAAATAACCAGGAAGAAATTTTTAAGAATAGTTAAAGATCTAACACTGTAATAAATCCAGATAGTTTATAGGTGGTGAGCTTTGTAAAACCTTCAGTGAAAAATGAGTGTCTCTATTATTGATTGTTTTGTTTCAGAACTTACTAAGGAATGTTTCTATTTTATTCTCTTAGGCCAGCAAAATGCTGCACCAAAGTCAAATAGCATGTGCATATATTCTCCAGACTCAGGACTCTTGTGTTATTAATACAGCTGCAAAAATACTAAACAAAATTTTAGGAAATTAAATCCATGAATAATTTAAAATACAAACAAATTATGCTTGAAGATTTATCTCAGAAATACTAAAACTGGGTCAGTAAATGTTGTGATCATCTCAATTCGGCACCTATTTCCAATTTTAAAAAATTGATGAAGCAATAGAAAAAAAATTGTAAATTGAGAAAGGGGAAACATTTAAATTATAGTTATTACCATCAAAGACAAGACAAGCATACTTTCTTTTGTTACTTCCATTTTTTTTTTTTTTTTTTTTTTTTCTTTTTGGACTGGAGACCTGAATCAATGCAACGGAATAAACACAGAAGAGTAGGAGCTGTAAATACTAATAAGGAAAAGTTGAAATTGTCATTATTTCAGATGATATTAGTAATGTAGAGAATCCAAAAGACTTAGCTAGAGATGGAATTAGGCGTCAGAAGAGCTTGGCAAATTGCTGGCACAAACAACAAACATATACATTGTACCGTTATTAACCTGTTAGAAAATAAATAGAATAAGAACAACTCATTCTTAAGTGGCACCTGAACCAGCAGATGTCTAAGAAAACACCTGAAAGCAGTATACAGTGTTTCTGAGGAAAACTAAAGCATTCCTTAAAAGCATCAAGGAAAACCTGAGTGCATAAACATTAAGGAACAGGATGAGAAGATTCAAAGTATAAAGGTGTAAAATTTCCCCTAATGTATTTGTAAATGTACAGTATCACTCAAAATCCCATAGAGGTTTTCTGCGGAAGAGGATAAGCCTATGGTTTATAGGGAAGAATATATGTTCGGAACAATACAATTTTTAAAAGGAAAAAACTGAGCAAGGATTATGTCCGACAGATACTCGGTAGCCTATCCTGATTAAAGAAGCGTGGTATTGGTACAGAAACTGACAAAGCAATGAAGTAGAAAAGATTTTATAAACAGATAAGTCCTTATTCATACTTGCCTTGGAGTTTGATAAAGGAAGAGTTTTAAAGGATTAGGGAAAGGTATGCAATTCACTTTAAGGCGGTGTTATCTTCACAATTAGGTATGAAGTTAAGGCTGAGGATTTTTTTTTCTGCTTTGTTAGGCATAGAGCACTCTTATTTATTTTTTGGTGTCAGGTTAGCAGTAATGAGTGCTCAGTTAGAAAAGACATAGCTCTGGATGATAGCCTCCGTAAGAATGGAAAAGTAACTTTTTTTCTTTTTTTTAAGGTTCCTTGTTTGCTGCTTTGGGTATACGTAATAAGCAGGGATCCTGGTCAGGTCATTTAAGCAAAGGGGATTACAGTGTTTGGAAGCAGACTTTTGGGTAGGTCATATCACAACGTAGATAAGCTACACGATCACAGAATTTTTGAACTGAAAAATGGACACGGCTCACACACAGTGGCAATCAGAAGGTTGCTTGGCAGTGCCCAGCCTTTCACACTTGTCTGTGAGCTGGCCTCCACAGCCGGCCTGTACCCTTTCTGTGGACGTCATCTTTTGGAGCGATGCAGTCTGCCATCTTCAGTAAAGCTAATCTCTTACAAAATCTGGGATTCCCTGAGGCATTTGGGTTTTTAAAGGTTGGTCTTCTAAGCTTCTCTTGAACTGGATTAAAGGTTTCACTAATTTTAGTAAATGCTTAAGGCTAATTAAAAAACTTAAGTTCAAGGAAACTCTAATAGAACTTTTGAGGTGGCCTGAAAGTTACATAATAGTTAAGCTACTTTTAGTCGAATTTTAATTAGTTTGGGTTGTCCTTTATGCACATTTCACCACAAGCTATTCATAGTTATATTTTCTTTCTTTCTTTCTTTCTTTCTTTCTTTTTCTTTCTTTCTTTCTTTCTTTCTTTCTTTCTTTCTCTCCTTCCTTCCGTCCTTCCTTCCGTCCGTCCTTCCGTCCTTCCTTCCTTCCTTCCTTCCTTTCCTTTTCTTTTCTTTTCTTTTCTTTTTTCTTTCTTTTTTTTTTTTTGTTAATCAATGAGAGCTTGTTATGTTGCTCAGGTTGGCCTTGAACTCACGGCCTCGCCTCCTCAAGCTCCAGGACAACTGGCCGGAGCCACCGCGGCACCCTATATTTTCATAAATATTTTTTGCTTTAGAGGTTTTGAAATTTGTATTAATGTAAAAGAGCTTTAAAACCACAGTGTAATATTCTTAATGTTACAGTTATTTCATTAGGGCTGCCTTAGTTGCAGCATCCCTTGGCCTTTCAATTTGAATTAGTGGTTCTTAATTATTTTAGAAATTTACGTCTCTTTGAAAATGTATAAAAATTCCAAAGGTTTTTACTTTCCTTATAAAAGTATGTGCTTCTCTTTCTTCTGGTGTGTGTGATGATCGGTTCCTATTCCTATTCATATGTTCATACACACACATTTTGCTTCCCATCTAGTCTCCCCTCAAGTCCATGGATGGATTATCTGTAATCCTTGAACTCCCCAGGTTAATTACAGCATGGTCAAGTCTGATGACTTCTCTGATAACCTCTTATAACTGAGGGATGCTTCTTTACTCTTTATGGAATACGTAGAGCCCAGATCCATTATTGGTTATTAACTGTGTTTCCTTCCCCATCTTCAAGCACTCTCTGGTGAAAATGTGTGGGCCAAAGATTCATTTGTCCCATGCATACATAAAGGGATAAAAAAACCTTTAACAACAAGTACACATGGTCTTTTGAATCCTCTCCCTCTGACACTAATTTTTTTTTTAAAGCAAACAAATGTATCTTCAGCCTTCAATTCTTAGCTAAAGTATTGCAGCCCTTTTTATCAATAACTGACCATACTGTGCAGAGTGGTTGAGTTTGGGGAAGATGTTTAAGTTACCTAATTTCCTAAGTCGCTTATAAACCCTGATTTCACAGAAGTATTTTTTGGCCTTGTGTAGGGTGAGCCAAATGACTTGACTTTAATGCTTTACTCTGTTTCACAGGAAAAGTGAAACTGCTTCTGAAGGAACTCTGGCTCTGTGTAAACACAACACACAGACTACCTGGTGAAGGCAGCAGATGTGTCCCAGGTGAGAGAGAAGCTTACAGAAACAGATTGCATATGTGAAAGTAGAGAGGTTTGCCATAGGCATTACAGCTGTGAAAGAATGAAATAAGCTAGAATCAGTACTTTAAACTATACAAAACTCATTTCCCTTCAGTGTGACTTCTAATCCCAGTAAATGTATTCAGCTTTCATCAGAGAACCTTGAGAAAAACTAGAAGGTCAAGTAGCAGAGGCACGCCACGCAGGCGGGGAGGGGAGACTTGAAGGATGCACGGTTTTTTCGGAATCATTTCATGAATTTGATCAATCCAGTTTATTTTTAATGTAATTTATCAGTTTCTTTGGTTGAACATCTTGATTCGAAGATGAACATCATGGAGGTATTCTAGCACATTCACAGTGATAGTCGATTTAGCTACCCCGAGTGGAGGGGGAGAAGACAGCTGGCTTGTGTAAGATTAAAGTGCTTCTTATTTAGCTTTTCGTCGTTTTACTAATTTCTTAGGTTAGCTGCTATAAACTCACAGGTCACTGAGGTTCTAAATCAATAGTCCTGCACCTTATTTTCCTCTCATGCTTCTGAAGGCAAAGTTCCCTTGGAAAAACGTTAAGGGACAACTTACTGATTCTTACTTAATGGTGGACCCAGAACTTGTTGAGTATACAGACGCATATTTGATGGAGTTCCTTTAAGTAGATGTTTCCCTCAATTCACCTACCAGGTCCCCATTGGTAGAAACCACATGGTACCCACAACTCCTAATTTAGTCCCCTCAGTTTTTATCAATTCATCTGTTTAGTAAAAGCAACCTGGGGATGCTCTTTGGCATTGTCTGTCCATCAGTATTCTATTTTAAGCATTTGATTTTATATTTTCAAGCTGTTATTAAAAGAGCTATTCTTCATTTAATAAACTGATGTTTTTATTTAAAAACATGCTTTTGAGGGATAAATATGTTAATTTTTCCCAAGTAGAAGGAAGAACATGGCATCTTTGGAATCTTATTATACCATAAGACATTCTTTTGTTTTAATTTTTATCTTCATATGAGGACGGTTACAAAAATAGTTCTGAGAATCCCTGTGGATCCCTTAGCCGGTTGCATGATTTTTAACATTTTCAGTTACCAGTGATCAAAACCAGAACATTGGGTTTAACCCTGTTAACTACGCTGTGAATTTCACAGTTTTCCCTGGGTATCCTTTCTTTCCAGGATGCTGGCCCAGAACTCATGCTGCTTTTAGCAGTCATCTTGCTTTCTCCTCCTTCATTCCAAAAGTTCGTTTTTTAATCTCTCATATATTTTACACTTTGGGAGAGTATTATTTTGTAGAATAATTTTGTAAAAAGTCCATTGTTTTGGCTTGTCTGATGTTTTCTCATGTTAGATTGAGGTTGTATATTTATGTCAAGAACGCCACAGGGGTGATGTTTCTCTTTGCTTAGGGAATTGTTCTGGGGATAGGTGATGTGGACATGTATTATCACTGGCTCTAACCTTGATCACTTGGTTAAGGTGGTATCTGCAGGTTTCTCTATTGTAAAGTTACTCTTTTTTCCTAATGAATCAACTTGAGAAAGAGTCTTTAACATTATGCAAATATTCTGGGTTTTTTTTCACATTGTCACCTGCTGATTTTAGCATCCAGCAGTGGATCTTGCCTGCTTGCTATAATTATTGCTTTTGTATTTGCCAAAGAATAATTTTTTTATTTGTCTCATTCCATCTGCATTTTTTAATTGGAATTCTTATGTAAGGAAGAGCTGTTCCTTCTCCACCATTTATTAACTTACTTGTTTACAGCAGTATAGTCTCATAGGTATTTATTTTATTTCATAAATCATTAATCGGTGCTACCCTTTTAGCTTTGGTGGGAGCTTCTTCAGATTGGCTCCTGCGCCCTTCATAAATGCTACGTCCTTTTTGAGTTGTTTACTTCTGGTACCACAAGATGTTTCAGTCTCAACTTGGATTTTCCCGCCCCAGCCCTAGAATCAACTGCTTATCCAAGGATCCCTGGATCCACTGTAGAACTTATTTTTAAAGCTTGCCAATATAATAAAAGGTTATGGAATCAAATGAATAGTACCACTGAAGTTCACTAAAATCAAGACCCTAAATGGATTAGCTTTTTGTAGAAACTTTTCTGTTGCATTATCATACTGAGTATTCATAGACCGCATCAGATCTCTCAGAGAGCATTGTACAGATATGGCTGTATCTGTGCAGTGGGTAGGCTTGATACTCATTGATTTCAAATCACTCTATAGACAGAAAATAGAGTTCTGTATCAACCTGTAGACACAAAGTTGATTTCTGACAACTTGTGCTGGTTGTATGGAAAGATTCATTCAGAGACCAAGTGAGCCAGCAGGGTTCGTTTCCATGGCCATGGATGCCTTTCCAGCTGTGTCATGCATCCACCCACCGGTCCATCTCACCTGTCAGTCTCACTTTTCTTACTGCAAGGCTAGCATACTTGTATGAAATCTATTGATCTTCTAGGATAATGTTTAGCAACTGATTGGTTGCCTTTTAAAAAACAATTTTTGCTTACTTGGACTTAATATTTCAAGCATTTTGAACTGTTATAATAAGGTTGTTTTTTTTTTTTTAAGTTTTCTTGATATTGTAAATACCTGATACTTACTTTTGTTCCCCAACACAGAAAAACCTGCCAAAGCAATCACCAGCTCCAGAGTGCCTGGGGAAGATGGCACGCTACCTCTAGCACAAGGCAGCCCTCTCAGGACCTCAAATGTGCAGACATGCCTCACGAAACTGTCCATGGAGATAGAGGAGGACATTTCATGTCAAAATGTGGAAAAAGAGAGCTCTAGTGGAACAAATTGTAGTTCTGATCACGTTTTTAACGAGAATGGAAATCTTGAGGTTTTAGTACAAAGTCATCATGACAGTGGCAGCACTGACTTGGTTGACCATGATCTTTTTTTTGATGAAGATCTTCAAGCTGCAATTGACTTCTTCAAACTTCCCCCTCCTCTTCTGTCTCCAGTGCCCTCGCCCCCTCTGATGTCATCACCGCACCTGGATTCCATACCTTCATTTGCACCTGTGAGTTTTGCTCTCTGAATTAGAATTACTAAGTGGGTACATTGTCTATCCTAATATGTCATTTATGCTCAAAGGATATTAGTGATACTAATGCACAGATTATTCATTTTAGCCAATTTTGTTAGGGGGTAACATGAGGATTTTAAAAAGCATGCCACCACCCTTTGGATCAACATATATAGTTTGAATTTTTTCACTTTGTGTTATGGTTGCATTTTAGTTAGTCTTTATTCACAACCAAATTAGATAACTGTGTCTTAATTGTTTTTATCTTTTGTATGGAATGACTGAATTAAACACATATTTGCACATATTTGTATGCATGGAGTTATATAGTGATAGGAAAGTCTGTGTGTATAGTATACATGTCCCTTAACTTAGCCAAGTTCTCTACCTTTATTTGATGAATTCATCTTTTTGTGTGTTTGCTAAATGGTTTATAGTAGTATCTTAGGAAGTTAGTTTTTATGAAGCAGATGTATATACTTTTTGTCTTAAGGAGCAGATATATGTTTTGCTCTCAGAATCAATTTCTTACTTCACAAAACACCATGTGTGCCTCTTATGTTCCAGGCACCAGGCTAGACACTGGGAGTGCAGAGGTGACAAAAGGTGCCATTGCTTCTCAGTGGGGTTCATTGTGTGGAGTTCAGAGCAGTCAGGGAGCAAACAGTTGCATTGCTGGGTAGAGCCCTGCAGTGGTAGAAAACATACTGCTCGAGAGGATAAAGAAAAGCAGCTCCGTCCTGAATAGAGGCCAGGCTGGGGTAGGAGGCAGGCAGGCAGGCAGGCAGGCAGGATTCTTCTGAAAATTCGGTCCCCACACTGAGTTTTAAGGAGTGAGTGGTGGTACTTCAGGTGGAGAAGCTGTTCACATGGTAGTGTAGAAGCAAGGGTGAACTCTGTGTGGGGCAGATTCATGCAGATGAGACTGTGAAAGGCCATGTACATTCTCCCAAGGAGTTCCCACTTTATCCTGAAGGGGGAAATCTTTGATGAATCCAAAGACATGGATTGAAAGTTTCATTTCAGTATGAGTGAGTAGGGAGTGGGAAGCTAGACAGAAAATAGACAAGACCATGGACAGGGTAGCGGCTTAATAAGCAGCTCACGTAATTCTTGATACCTGAACCTAAGTTGTGGCATTGGGGTTAATGAGGTAGGGACTGGTTTGAAAAGTGTTATGAGGTCAATTGATCAGTATTCAGTGACATTTTGAATATGGTAGTTAGGGGAGATGGAGGAGTCATATTGAAACATAATAAATATAAGAAGAGACCCTGTTTGGGAGAATAATGTATAGAATGTTAGATATGAGCTATGCATATACACAGGCGAGGTGCTGGAGGGAGGCTGTAGTGGGGCACAGGCGTTCTGGACATGCCAGCATTTGAGTGCAGCAGAAGTCACGCAGCCCTGATGTTATCCAGTAAGAGTATATAGGAGGAGAAAAAGATAGGGTCCCAGTCAAGACCCTGGGGAACTGTCTCTACGTAAGTGGCGAGTAGAAAAAGTGAGGAGGCCAGGCGCTGTGGCTCACGCCTGTAATCCCATCACTTTGGGAGGCCAAGGTGGGCGGATCACGAGGTCAGGAGTTTGGGACCAGCCTGACCAACATGGTAAAACCCTGTCTCTACTAAAAATACAAAACTTAGGTGGGCAAGGTGGCATGTGCCTGTAATCCCAGCTACTCAGGAGGCTGAGGTAGAAGAATCGTTTGAACCCGGGAGACGGAAGTTGCAGTGAGCCTAGATCCCACCACTGTACTCCAGCCTGGGCAACACAGCGAGACCCCGTCTCCAAAAAAAAAAAAGAAAGAAAAAGAGTGAATAAAGGAGATTGAAACCAGGGCAGAATAGCAGAGGAAAGCCAGGAGATGATGGTACTTTGGAGTTCAAAAGAGGAAAGAATTCTTTCAGTAGGAGCAAGATAATGTTAGCAGCTTTTAATCTTCACCAGTCCACTGTTCTCTAACAGAATAGAGACAAGAAGTTGATGGTTTCAGCACATGCCAAGTGGGCCACATGCCAAGTGGGCCACATGCTCTAGGCAGTTAACTCAGGAGGGGACAAGTTGGGGGTCAGGAAAAATTTCTGGAGCAGAGGTGGCTGGAGAATGGGCTGGGAGAAAGAGAGCTTTGTAAGGGTAGCACAGGTGTGCGTTGATGACATCAGTCAGGCTGCAGCACTCTGTGAGGACATGTTGGGGAGGAGATAGGTGGCAGGAGAGACCCACAAGACAACGACCCTCCTCCCCTGCACAAGGCTGTACCAGGCACAAGTCAGACACCGGAGGGAGAGGAAATAGAGAGCTGTGAAGCCAGAAGCTAGCAACCTGTGTCAGACCCTTTGTTATGAGATGATGGGGAGGTAACAGTTTGCAAGTAGGAATATTTGAAAGTTAAGAGAACAAACCTAACCCTGTGTAGAGTGGGGTGTGGCACTTGGAAGCATGTCTGTTATTGGGGGAGGTGTCTGTGGGGTGCTGGGCATCCGTAGGGAGAGAGCAGAACAGTGTTGGACCAGAGCTGGAGAACTGCCTACCCACCACAGAGAGTCTAGGCCCCAGCATGCCCTTGCTCAAATGTGATCTTAAAGGTTCTTCAGGAAGCATCATGTACTTTAAAAAAATAATGCATCTAAATGATAGTCATGTAATCTTTTGAATTCGTTTTTGACAAGTATAATTCATATTTTTAAAGGAAACCTACTTTGGAGAGTATACAGATTCCAGTGATAATGACTCGGTCCATCTTAGAAATTCTGCTGAGTCTGTTTCCGAAGATGATACAGCTGAATCACAGAATTATTTTGGCTCATTGAGAAAAAATAAAGACAGTGGTACATGGGAGGAAAAGCCCAAATCACATGAAGCTGTCCAAGCTCTAAATACATGGGAAGTAAATAAAGTGACAACTGCTGGACTCGAAACTTTCACAGCAGCACTGAGTGAATCTTCTGCCACACACTCCTTAGCTGGTGAAAAACACTGGACCACAGCATCTCAATCCATGAGTGATAGAAAAAGAGACATTTTACATGAGACAAAAAGACAAGTAGAGGTTAGGGAGATGGATAAGTCAGTGCAAACCGAGAGAACCATTCATAAACACACTCAGGGTTTGTGCATTGAGAGATTGTCTGCCTGTCCAGCACAAGAAAAGGAAGCTGCCACTCGGAAGTCAGAGTTCTATTCTTCTCCCCTTGGCAAGAAGAGGCCATTAAATGAACTCATGGAATCTGAAGGAAAAACCCTATTGTCTAAAATGATAGGTTCGCCCAAATCAGAGTTTACTAAGTGGACACGAATTAATGAAATCACTTCTGAACCAGACTGTATCACAGTTTCTGGCCATTTTCACAGACAGTCTAGAGAATTGGAAAAGGAAAAGGAAGATACACAAGGGTTCACTTTAGGAGAATCGCCTGAATCAGAAGATGATGATTCAGGCGATGCAATGGATGTAGCAGGGCTTGGTGTTGAAACCAGTTTTTCTTCCTCTTCTGCCTTGGTAGCATTGTCTATTGGCAGTAATCCCCAGTCTTCTTCCGGGTTAGACTGTGGTAATGATACAGATATTACTACTAAAGTATTCTCTACTGAATCGCATCATTCAGAACATAAATTACAAACTAAAACTTTAAACACGTTACATCTGCAGTCTGAGCCACCAGAGTGTTCTATAGGAGGAAACAATTTGGAGAATAGCATGCATGCCTTGAGCTCTGAATTGGGAGCATCTAATTTTAATGATCAGAAGAGCAATGGGATAGAATATACAAAAATCGTAAAAGGCTTGACCAAAATACATTCACTTCCTCGGTCAGTATTTATGAAAGCTACAAAAGATGGGCAATGTGAAAGTCAGGATCCAAGAATAGAGGTCACACGAAATAAGCCAGATTTCACATCATTAATAGGTTCTCAGGCTGCCTTGATAAAGAGTGGTTTGGGTTTTGTTAAAAGTACTTCGTGGCACCATAGTGATTTATTAAGGAAAGGTGGCGAAGAAAGTCTGAGAGCTAAATCAGAATATGAACAAAAGACTAGCCATCAGTTACAAAAGGTAGTGCCATCCCTACAAAATAGAGGACCAACACCCAAGCCTAACCTTCTTAGAGAAAATAACAGTCCTGTAGAATTGAAGACCACTGCATCAGTGTTGCCTAATCAAGTGTCAGTTATCACAAAACAGACAAGACCTGAAAAGGTTCAGAGTGCTAAATTGGAACACTTGAGGCCGCATAGGAATGAGCCTACCTTAGTAACAGAAAATAATGGCAACAAAACTGATCATATGTCAACTCTAGCAAAATGTGATGGGGAAAGAGACGATACAACTCAAAACATCAGGGAGGTGGCTGCTGTGAAAAGCGTTTCACCAGAAGTTTCTGCCTCTCGGAGAAAACTAGATTTTAGTTCTTCAGGTGGTTCTTCACCAGTAGAAAATTCGGATTGTTCCACAAGTAGCAGATTATCTTTATCTTCTGAAGACATCCTCGTCCAAAACCAAGACATTGTGAGAGAAGCTGCAGTGCAAGAAGATGGGCAGAAGCAGGGGCAGCCTCCTCAGGCCACAGATCTGGACTCAAGTGGGACAGATAGCAGTGAGGTGCTTCCAGCCGCAGAAGTGACCATGTCAGGAGGCTTTTCTGTTGATGAAATGGCCTGTGGAGACACAGAGAGGTCTGGTGGTGATGCTCTGGCTGTTGCAAATGGTACTGCTAGCACACCACAAAGTGCTAATGGACCTTGGAAGTTGAAATCTACAACTCCTGTTGGTGCTTTGCCTGAAGGTTTTAGCACCACAGACACCACTTTATCTCCAGCATTTTGCAGAAAAGCTGGAGAGACACAGGATACCTCCCAAAGTAGCCCTTCTGCTACCTTACCTTGTTTCACAGGCATTCGAGAGCGGGGAGATGACACTGAGGCAGAGGATAGTGAGGCATTTAGCTGCAGTGAGGGGAGCGAACAGCAAGATGCTCCTGAAGACTCACAGAAAAATTTAGCAGATGGAGATGCTGGTGTAGCCGAGGTGAGGCCTTCTTTAGAGGTAGGTTGTTTGACGTCAGCTCTGCAAGATTTTAACATAAGTACTTTTTCTGAGCTAGATAGACTTTCCACATCAGAGGTTGTGATGTTTCTTGAGAGCTGTCAATTAGGGGATTATAGTTCAGGGGACTCTGTTTCTGAATGTTCTAGTAAAGGAACCCTAAGCAAAGAAATGAACAAAGAACTAAAGCCCAGTGAAATATCAGGAGAAAAATATAGAAAGCAACCCTGTGAAGAAGAAATACTTGGAACCTGTGAAGAGTGGATTGAATCAGAGGAAGATGATTATTCATTAAAAAATACAAGTCAGCTCACTCAGTGTTCTTTGGAAACTCTGTCTGAAGTTCTCACCAAGATTAGGCAAGAACTTCAAACAAATTCTGAAGATGGCAGTGGTAAAGATGCTGGCAGTTTATTGCTCTTAAATGTAAATAACAACATGACCACTGAGAATTTAAAAGAGAAAGGTCCATCTCGGGAAGTGACTGGCTCCTCATCACATGGTTCAGAACCACCCCCGCAGATAGCTGCCGCGGACACTGAGGGCAGCTCTCCCATTCGCGGTGGGCCTCACAATGAAAACATTCAGAGCGGACCAGAGGCCAACTCAGATGCATGCGGGCAAACCAGTGGTGAGGAAGAAGTCCTGGTAGAACCTGTGGAGCCATCAGCCTTGTGCTCTGACTCCGTAACAGAGCCACTGATGGAGCAAAGTTCTAATTGTGAGGCCGAAGCAACATTTCAGTGTCAGATAGCCACGGTGACCTCAGAAGTTATAAACGTACTTATAAATAAGGATCAGAATCTAGTCATTGAAAAGGGGGACAACTGGACAATCATCAGTGGTGTAGCTGTTATGCCACATGTGGACCAGGTCACACTGTGTGACACTCCTGGAGACATCCCTGTTTCTCAGGATCAAGGAGAGCTGGAAGCTGGTTGTATCCCAGTGACTTCTGCTGAGAAGTCCCCAGAGGCCAGTCACACTGGCCCTGCATTTCAAGAGGCTCCATGTGACAATAATATTTCGTGTCCTCAAGAGGATGTTTCAAGCAGTGGTCAGAGCACCAACTTTGATAAAAGTCGTTTGCGAAATAGACCCGTTAAGCCTAGTATATGGATCAGTTCTCAAATATATGATCAAAACTTTGAGACTCAGATTGTTGCATCTGATCACACATATTATAACTCAAAACTAGAGCCATCTGGCAAAAACAAGAATCGATCAAAGATTTCAAACAAAGATCAATCAAACAAACCAGTAAAAACTTCAGCATCAAGCAGAGTTGAAACTCATCAGAGTGAAGTTTCTCAGTCATTTTCAGGGGAAAAAAGTTGTACAAAAACTCAAAGAAGCCAAACTCAGACGATTTTAGCAAATGCTGATACATCCACACCTACAGATTGCTCTCCTGACACGCTGAGTAAAATACGGCAAGAGGTGGGGCCTCCTTTGCCGCCTCTTCTTGCTCCTCTAATAGCTACACCTCCAAGGACTTCACAGCCACTCTCTCCTCTGATATCGAGTTCTAGTCCTTCCTCACCAACTTCTCCTGTTGGCCAGATTTCTCCCTTATGTGAAACCCCAGTGCCTCCTGTCATGTCTCCATGGCCGGAGGACCCCAGACGTGCCTCTCCTCCAGATCCTTCTCCATCTCCGTCCACTGTGTCAGCCAGTGAGAGGGTAGTGTCGTCTCCTCTGCAGTTCTGTGCAGCCACACCAAAGCACGCACTTCCTGTGCCTGGCAGACTACCACCCTGTGCACCTGGCCATGCTGCTGTTGGAGGGCCCCAGGAGAATTCTGTGAAAATCCTTGACACCATGTACCCAGAGTTATCTGCCAGGGCCCGGACCCTCAACATCCTCAGAGGGAATATTCAACTCACGCGAGGTTCACCTGCTGACTGTAAGAATTTACCAGGACCCGCCAGTGCTATGATAGGATTCAAAACGATCACTTCAGCAGCAACTGCTTTTGTCAAAACTGGGAGCAGCTCTGGTGGTGACTGTAACCAAGACAAGTCAAAAGATTTGGGGACTCATCAGGATTCAAGTGGGAAAAGAACGCTGTCAGCGTCTACACTGAGAAGTGCTAAAAGACTGCGCCTGGACACTGGGTCCCCAGAACCAGAAGCCAGGGGAGTCACTGCAGAAGGAATCCACAAGAACCTCCCAAGGAACCTTCCTCCAACTGAAGTTGCAACAACAGATGAGGAAAGAAGTTCTACTCCAGCCATCAGTGCAGTTTCACAGTTGCCTTTAAGTCCAAAGGAAACTGTGGAGTCCCATGATAAAGCCATAGCTAATGCGCTGAAGAAAATTGCAGAGTTTTCTTTCGATCTGTTACCTGTCATTCGTAGTCATGTATATGTGGGAAATATCTCCAAAAAGCCCGTGATGAGAGATCAAGAGAAAGAAGTTGTTTATGAATTTAGTACAACAAAAAAGGTATGTGGCTGCCCTTTTCTAAGTGCATTATGGATTACATGTCCTCAAAGACAGATGCTATCTACTGCCAGCAAAATCTGTAGATGACCAAACAGAAGTTTTATTTCGAGGATGAGAGTTATCCCTGTAAACATTTCTAGGCAGCATCTTACAAATGTTCTTTTCTAAGTGCATCAGTGATTACGTGTCTTCACAGACAGATGCTGTCTACTGCCAGCAAGATGTGTAGATGGCCATGAACAAAATTTTATTTTAAGGATGAGAGTTATCCCTGTAAACTTTATTTCTAGCCAGCATTTTACACATTTAAAATATGAAAAGACACTGGAGATTTGATCTTTTCTATTCATCAAGTTACTTAAATTTTTAAAAAAGTATTTATCAGGACTAAAATTGCATGTATCCACTTTATCCTGGCATGTTTAGAGGCTTAAAATTATTTTCTTCAAAGCCTCAAATTATCACATACTTTTTATTTTCCTTGAGTGTTTTGAGAGTCTTCTAGAAAGACTCTTCAGTAATGAATGTTACAGATTAAACAGGAAGAAATGCTTAGTGTCAAGACAGGGAAAAAAGGGATGGTTTAAATTTACATATGTAGTTTATTAGGACTTTTAAAGTGCTGTATCATTGATGACTTCTAATGCCAAAAGGATCACACTTAGTCCTTATCTGCATATACCTGGAGTCATTTTGGCATACATATTTTTTTAGATTGCTTACTTGCAGAAAGCATAAAGAGCTCTATAAGTCAGTTTGAAAGGAAATGAATGCATGTATCATTTAATTTTTCCCTTAGGATGAAAAATGTTACTTAATACTTCAAAATTTAAACCAGTATAAATTAGAGTTTAGAAAACCAGCATGAGAGTAGAATTATATACTGTATTTAATATATTCGCATACACAGATTATATAGAGCAAAATCCAAGAAATTATTATTTATTTGACTGGTGGTAGTGGCAGTTGGCAGCTAGGTTTTTTGAGACTTGAATTCTGGCATCTGCAGCATTATCAACCATAGGAAACAGACTGGTATGGGGATTTTTTCCAATGCCCCCACCTCGATTCTCATGACTTACCATGCTAGGCAAGTCCTTACCAGTTATTACTGTGCTCTACTTTCTGGTGTAGTGCAAGTTTTATTTTTTCAGTAGATTCTTAAGTTTTGTAACTTTTAGGTAATCTTTGGTAGACTAAAGATAAATATGAGTGTACATTGCCTTTTTATTTTATTTTTTTTAATCCAGCATTTAGCAGAGTGCTTGCTTCACTCTATTCTCTCAGAACTAAAAATTCAGAAGGTATCTATGGACCACAATTACATTCATGCCCTCTGCAGAGTGTATGTGGGTATTTGTCGACAACTTGGAGACTTGGAAAGAGCTCGCTTGTTTTGCTACAGCCTACTTAAGGAAGGTATGCTTAGATTGTGACAATTTTGTATTGAAATTATGATTGCCTTTTTTACCTTATTATACTGGAGTCTCTATTTTCAGCTCTGTGATTCCTGTGTGTCTTTTAAAATAATGTTATGTTTTGTCCATTGAATAGCTTTGGCTATATCCAGCTGCACCTGGTCTTCAGTAGGGCTTACTTATATCAGCACATGTATTTCTACTTGTAAATAAATGATTATCTCTCATTACTATTTGTTTTATGCGCTGTGCAGCTGCTTTAGAATTAGGTATAATTGCCCTAAAATGGGGAATACTTTAAGGTAAGTGACAAGCCACACTGCTGTAACACTAGGTAGAAAGGGCAGCAACTTTAAGATGAATTTGTCGGCTGGTGAGAAGAAGTAGATCAGAGAAAGCTGAAAGGAGATGGTGACATGAGGGTTGTCCTGTGATTATCTTTTCTCTTTACTGTTTCTTCTGTCTCTACTAGTGGATCAGATTGGGAATCATTTTTCTCTGTGTCAAATCATCAGTATTTTCAAATCATATGATATACAAATGAAACTTAATATCATATCAGCCTTATCTCAGTGGTAAATATTTATAATCTTTGACTACCATGTTTATGAGACTCATAAAGCAGGATGATTGCGTATATCCATCCCTTTTAGTGTTTCGAGTGAAGCGGCTGTGTGTTTCAGTTGCCCACTTCATTTCTTTGTTTACTCTTTCATTTATTGAACAAATCATTATTGAGTGAATGTTAGGATTTCTGTCGTGATCAGAATCAGATGGAGGTACAATTGTCCATGGGGCTGATAGGCCATAGTCACGTCACAGAACCACACATGAAGTTTAGCAGTTGGTGGGTGGTGGGACAGAAAGGGGTATGGGTTCAGTCAAGACCACATAGGATTTCGCGTTCTTCCTCAACCACAGCAAGCCCATTCTTAGCTCAGGCTTTTGTGCTGACAGCTTTCTTGCTGTTTCCTTCAACTCTTGTGTTTCACTCCACTAATTTCACATACCTTCCTAGTCATCCTAGATCCCTTCTTTTTATTTGCCTTCATGGCATTTATCACTTCTTAAAAGAGATTTTATTTGCAGTCTCTCTGCTCCTCTAGTTTGTATACTCTGTAAGTAGAGAATTTATGTCTTGTTTCTACTCTGAGCTGTCACCAGATAAACATAGGATTCAAAAACTAACAGATAAGTTTAGTGCAGTGAGTTTATGCTTTGAGCTCCCTATTCTTAGATGTGTCTATGATAGATAAAGCAGAACAGAGAAAACTAAAAAGCAGAAAAGTGAAAACTAAAAAGATATGATTGTACACCAAACAGGTTAAACATTGGAAAGATCTTTGACAATTTCTTATGAAATTAAAACATTTATTTATCCTATGGTCCAGAAATTCCACTCATAGGCACTTATGCAACAGAAACACAGAGATGGATCATTTCATAGACCGGCCCACAGATATAACATCTTCATTCATAGGAGCCCATAACTGGAAACAAATGTCCATCAGCCAGTGAATGGAAAACATTTTGATGTCTTACACAATTAAATATTACTTGGCTATACAAAGGAGTAGACTACTAATGTATGCAACAACTTGGATGAATCTCAAAACCGACATGCTGAGTAGGACAGAAGAGTACATGCTACAAAAATCCATTAATACATACTTGAGAAAAGGCAAACTAATGTATAGTGACAGTAGATGAGGGCTTCTCCGTCACTGGGGTAAGGTGATTCACTCAGAGCATGAGGGCGAGAGAACTTTTGGGATGATGCTATTGACTGCTGTTGTTTCTTGGATTTATTCATTTGTCAAAATTCATTCAACTTTATACTTGAAAAGAGAATATTTTGTTGTCTGTAGACTACATGTCAGTTAAGTTAATTTTTAAAAAAGAGATAAAGCCAGATGTAGGAGAAAATATTTACAACAAAAGAATTGTCATCCAGAATTTATTTAAAAAATTTCTTCAAATCTGAAGCTTTATGTGCTCAGTGAGTAAATGTAATGCATAATAACCTATGTAATGTAATGCAGATTTCTGTAATATGTAAAAATGGCCTATAATGACACATACCAAATGGGAGGATTCCGAGACTGAGGAAGTTGGAGAACGGATTTTTGAAGTGACTGTGACCGGAGCCTCATCTGGGCTACCCACTGACAGTTTCCTCCATTGCAGGATGCCTTGCAAGGCACCCATGAAATTAATACAAGTTATTCTTAATCTGTAATTTATTCACTTGATTATACATAAAAGGTTTATTGTATTATTTTATTTCTCATAGATTTTCCAGAGTCTGAAAAATTGACTTTGTTTATTGCAAACATGTGGCATGATATATTTCTCTCTCAATCGGTGATTAATAAAGCAATGCAGTTAGTTGCCAGGCAGCGTGCTAAGGGAGAGGTTCTGAACTGCCTGAGAGCTTTTCTTAACTGGGAAAAGGTGAGCTTTATTTTTATTTCTTACAATACCGTACTTTAAGATACTACATAAATGTTATTGTGTTGCGTATTTAGTTTGCAGTCGTTTTTTCTTCTTTTTAGATCTTTTAAAATTTAATCAGTTTACCCATTTTGATCTTTATGCAGAAGACATTCAAGGAAGAATTACAGACCAAAGATTGTGTTAATTAACAGTTTGTTTTCTACGCTAATTTGTGACTGATGAAATCCACCCTTAGGCATTTATGTTTAAAAGTCTCCGATAAGCTACAAAATTATTTGGTTCTATAGTAGATACTTATGTGAAAACAGTATATCTCGGTTCTTTCCTATTAGGATTTTTTAAAAATGTGCTTTATTTTTTTTTCCAGTTGATGGAATTTGATTTTGTGCTATCTACTTTGTTCCCATGTTATATTTTATATGCTTTTTAGTTACGACATGTTAAAGTAAGTGTCTAGATGAGTGTTCTTTCATCATTTTATTTCATTCATTAAGTCGATCTAATGAGAATCTAACTACCAGTAGCAAACTTTAAGAAGAGGTACTGAAGCCAGTGATACTGATTTTTAAATTTTATTTTCTGTTTTTAGTGAGCATGTATTTCCTCCTCCAAAAATTCCACTTGGCTTGTGTGTGGAGCAGAATTTTATATGCTATTTTGCTTTTTTGACTACTTTTGATGTTAGTATGTATTAGGATTTTATTTTTTATAAGATGTAAAGGAAAGAGCTTTTGGTGGTCAAAAGTTAGCTAAATATTAAAAAGCAAGTTTGCAATGACCTCTTCATTAGTCCATCTAGATACCACAGAATACAGTCATCGTGAGGTACTGTCATCAATTCTAGTCAGTCATTTTGTGTCAGGAGAGACACCCCGACCCTACCAGTGGACACCCGCAACCACATAGATATCTGTTCTAGAGGGTTACCAGCCTCCAGAACGTTACCTGCTTCTGGAAGTTTATTTGCCTCCAGAGAGTTACCCGCTTTGAGGGTTACTGACTTCGGAGGTTTACCTCCTCCCAGAGGGTTACCTGTCTCTGGAGGGTTATCTGTTCCCAGAGAGTTACCTGTCTCCTGAGTATTACCTGCCTCCAGAGAATTAACTGTTTCCAGAGGGTTATCTGCCCTCCAGAGAGTTACCTGTTCCCAGAGGGTTACCTGCCTCTGGGTAGTCACCTGTTCCCAGAGTGACCTGTGTCTGAAGAGTTACTTGCCTCTGGAGGGTTACCCACCTTCAGAATGTTGCCTGCCCGGGCTGCTCATTCTCTCGCTTGGTCTTTCCACTTGCACACTGGAGCCCATCTCCTTTCACTTGTTCAGAATTAAGCAGGATGTGGTTACAAAGACATTCCTTATGAGGAACAAATCATTTTAGCAAATGTATTTGCTAAGTATCATATCAAATAACAATACGAAGTCAAAGCTTTAAGAAAGGTCAGAAATACTTGGGGAATAAAACACTATTATAGTGTAAGATTTCCAAATGCTCTCTTACAGAATTAAACATCTGGTAAACAAAAATGAGGATATAGTACAATTCAATAGTATAAAAATGTAAATGTATGTGAAGAATATGTATTTTTCTTATATCTGTGACACATTACACAAATCAGTGATGATTTGGCCACATGAAAACATTAATTTATAAAAAGTAAAGATTTCACACTCAAAACTCTCTGGTAATAATTCAGTAAAATTTAACAGAAAAAATTTCAAAATATTTACTTCAAAATTGAGATACACATTCTTAGTCTGGGAACAAATAAAATATGAAAAGTAATATTCAAAGTCTTAAAAGTCAATGAAAAGCTAAACTCAGTATCAAAGATCTCTAGGTTTTTTGGAAAACATGTACTCATTAAAGTATCTTAAATGTCTTAGTTGTTTAGCAAAAAATAAATGAAGTTGGCTGCTACTCATCTTTGACATTAGAAATGTTGAGGGAAGCGGAGAAAAAGAATAAAGTTTAAGAGATAGTAATAATGAAGAGGAAAAGAAATAGAAACACACAGCAAATAGAAATACTGCCTTTAAAAAATGCTCACCACAGATAGCAGATCAACATAGTGCAGATCAGTGAAAACAGAGAGAAGCAAAAGTAGTGAAGATGTGAAATGGAAGAAAGAATATAGGACACAGAATGAGAAGACTACTGCCTGCAATCCTATAGCAACAGATTTTTGGAAACAGGGTGATTTCCTGGCAAAATAAAAATGATCAAAATTGTCTTTAGGGGTAGGATACTTGACAAGACTGGTTGAAAGGTGATTCAAACTTTACAAAGACATGTATAGATTTCTCCTGAGTTTTATCTAATCTTTTTTTTTTTTTTTTTTAATTTTTTATTGGATTTTAGGTTTTGGGGTACATGAGCAGAGCATGCAAGACAGTTGCATAGGTACACACATGGCAGTGTGCTTTGCTTTTCTTCTCCCCTTCACCCACATTTGGCATTTCTCCCCAGGCTATCCCTCCCCACCTCCCCCTCCCACTGGCCCTCCCCTTTTCCCCCCAATAGGCCCCAGTGTTTAGTACTCCCCTTTCTGTGTCCATGTGTTCTCATTTTTCATCACCCACCTATGAGTGAGAATCAAAACCACATTGAGATACCATCTCACGCCAGTTAGGATGGCGATCATTAAAAAATCTGGAGACAACAGATGCTGGAGAGGATGTGGAGAAAAAGGAACACTTTTACACTGTTGGTGGGAGTGTAAATTAGTTAAACCATTGTGGAAGACAGTGTGGCGATTCCTCAAGGCCTTAGAAATAGAAATTCCATTTGACCCAGCAATCCCATTACTGGGTATATATCCAAAAGACTATAAATTATTCTACTATAAGTTTTATCTAATCTTTAAAGACCCAAGTAACTGTAATCTATTTTAGGCATGAGGAAAAATTGAAAGCCCTCTGTTTGTTTCTAATGATAAAACCCAATTAAAAATGCTGTAAGAAAGAAAAGAAAAGCCAGTTTTTAGTGAGTCTTTTAGAAGTAAAAAGTGTCACTAAACAGGAGATTTCAGTAATGTTTTCAAAGAATAATACTTTATAACCTCAATAGAGTTTATCTTGATAAAACAAGGAGAATTCAGAATCAGAAAATCAATATAATTATTAAAGAAGAAACCCCCATGGATTATACCTAGGCTAGGAAATAGAAGGAAACTTATTAAATATAATACTGCTAGTTAAGAAATCAGTGGTATTATCTTCAATGTAAATTATGAATTATTTCAGTTTTTTAAATCAGGAATTAGGGGATTCCTGCTGTAACCATGGTGGGAAGTATTTCCTGAGTTGGGTTCTTCAAGGTGTTGCTTCCAAGTTTTTCTGCCAGAGTTGATAAAATCTTTAAAAGTGCTCTATATGCAGAAGTGAATTTTAAAGTTGTAAATTTACGAACCTTTTAAAAAAGCCTTTAAATTTATGAGTCTTGTTTTATTTATAAATCAGTTAATTGTTAACAAAGTAAGAATGTGTTCACTTTGGCCATCGATAAATGTTAGTTAACTCATATATTTAACAGATTAACATTTCCTAAATAATCTTATTTACAAATTTCAGCAATTTAATTATCTTAAGACTTAAAATATATTCATAAACTTAAGACATATTCTTCAAAAACAGTTCAAATTAGGCTTTCAGATCTAATAAGCAAAATCTTTCTAAGCACTTTAGCAACTCTTGAATGTGGAAAGTCAAATTGAGAATGTAGAATATGAGTTGTAATAAATATTCAAACAATGTTTACAAACCTAATTACATTCTCTTAAAACACGTCTAATTACAATCATGATTCTAATACCAAATACTTCACATTACAGCCACACTTGAAACATAGGAGATTCTCAGCACTTTTATGGAGCATATATTCTATACATGTAGATTATCCCATGTTCACAATTACTGTAAAATGTATTGTAAAATAGATACTCAGAAAAGTAGATATATGGATTTGATTTGTTTCATGTCAGAATTTATTTCTGCATCTTTTCCAGTTGCAGTCACTGATTTTTCAAAGTGGGAAATATTTATCATTCTGGCTGAGTTTTGGTTATCAGGTATATTACTTTGAACCATGATTTTGTAATGGATTTTCTCATAGAAACCTTAAGACTTAGAACCTTTTAGGATATATATGCCCAAGTTAGGATATATGTACAGGTTTACTTGTTGAGCCTTTCTAATAATAAAGCAAATATCCAAGCCCAAGCCTTTTCTTGTATTAAGTATATTGAGTATTGTATCTGTATTATTTTTATAATCAAACTCTCATATAGTGGTGGTGGGAATGTTAAATGGCATGACCACTTTGCAAAATAGTTGGGCAGCTTCTTACAAAGTTAAACATTTTCTTTTTTTTTTTGAGATGGAGTTTCACTCTTGTTACCCAGGCTGGAGTGCAATGGCGCGATCTCAGCTCACCGCAACCTCCGCCCCCTGGGTTCAGGCAGTTCTCCTGCCTCAGCCTCCTGAGTAGCTGGGATTACAGGCACGCGCCACCGTGCCCAGCTAATTTTTTTTTTTTTTGTAATTTTTAGTAGAGACGAGGTTTCACCATGTTGACCAGGATGGGCTCGATCTGTTGACCTCGTGATCCACCCGCCTCAGCCTCCCAAAGTGCTGGGATTACAGGCGTGAGCCACAGCGCCCGGCCAAGTTAAACATTTTCTTAGCAAAAGACCAGGAGTTCCACTCTTAGGTATTTTCAAGAGAAGTGAAATTTGTATCCTCACAAAGACTTGAACGTGAATATTTATAGCAGCATTAACAACAGTCAAAAGCAGTGAATTGATAACCAGTAATATATTTGTATAATTGGTTACTACTCAGCAGTAAAAAAAAAGTGTTCAAACTACTCTTTGATGCAACACTATGGATAAATATTACAACACATTATACACAGTTGTGAAAGAAGCCAAACACAAGAATTCATTACTGTCTAATTCAGTTTTATGAACTTCTTGAAAAGGCTGACTGATCCTTGATGTCAGGAAAATAATAGAATTTAATTGTTAAAGGTTTGCTTTTATAATTATAACTAGCTTTCTAACTTTAATTCTCTGATTTGAGTTGATGAAACTGTGCTTTCCTGTCTGGATTACAGGTAAGATCTTTTCTACCTGATTGGATAGATAGATATCATCCTGCCTAGATAGCTTTTTCATCTGGCTCATCCGACTACTGTTCTGTAATCATTCTGTGACTAAGATAAACATGGTTCCTTACTCAGACTATTTTAAAAAGTTAAGATTAAATGAATGCTTATTACAGACTTTTAGATAACTAAGGTAAGATGCATTATATTTAAAACTCCAGATTTTATTTTATTTCTTTTTTATTTGCTAGAATGCCCCGGTAGATGTTGGCTTCATGGTTTCTAAGCTGCTTTTGACCATACAGTTATGTCCAAAAACAGAATTTCAGTCCAGTGAAAAATTTGGTGAAGACCTAAGCGATAACACTTGGGAATACATATTTGCCATCGATCTGCTCTGCTGCCATCAGAAATGGATCTGGACACATGATAACATTATAAGGTTAGTAATTTACTGACTTAAATAAAGATCCATAATTTGAATTGTAAGGTTGAATTGTTGAATGCTGAATTGTGGTTTGAATCATTTTTGTTGTGTAAGCCTGTAAGCAGATGAACCATTAACAAGTGACACTTTTTATTTTATAAGAGTTAATGAAACTACCCTTAAGATACCTTTATCACTATCACATTATCTTGTTTTAATTTTCTTTAGTACTGGTCACTACTTATTGCTCTGTTCTGCTCTTCTCATCTTTCTCTCTCCAAAAGAAATGACTCTGGGAGGGTGTAGGGTGGCCTTGTTTGGCTCACAGTATATCCCCAGCATGGGAAACGGTGCCCACACAAGGGGAGCACTTGGTGAATGTATGTTTAATGAAATTAATGATCATTATCATAATATACAGATACTCACAAAAATTAAAGGGAAGAGAAATATTCAAAATTATAAATTAGTAGCTCCTCCCACCTGGGAGAAAATTAAGCTCTCAGGCATTCGTTATATGTAGTAAATTGACTTTTCTCTGTGCATCTGTAATTCTGGCACTAGCTTCGTATCACCTCTGGGAGAATGGAGAAAATTGTCACTCAAATAATTTTTCTGTAGGTCTTAATTTTCTTGTGGAACCCTGGCTGAGAAAGGCTGGTTTAAGGGAGTTGGTGATATTAAAAAGGATTCATCCAAGGTTTGAAATCCATATCCTTGAGCTACTTGAAGCTGTAGAAGTTCTATTGTCCATAGATCCATGTGTGTACAAGGATGTCTGTTACTCTTATTCATCATCTTGACGCTAAGAAAAGATGAAACAACTGAATGTTAGACAGGAAGAAATCGAATCATGGCACACCTCTATGAGATAATGGCTATATATCTCGCAGCTGTGAATGGATTACCGTGTATTGAAATGGAAAAGTATTTCCCAGTCTGTTACTAAATAAGAAAATGACAGAATTGTCTGTTTAGTGCCAGTCTGTATAATGTGTCAGGGTACTCTTTGGGCCTCAGTTTTCTGAATCCTAATGGGAACACATGAGACAGGGGCCCTGCTAGCCCCAGTTATGCATGAAGAGACCAGGACTGGTGCCCATCAGAGATGATTGGTCCATGATCCCTGCACTGGTGGTGAAGACAGCGTCAAACATGAGGATCTCCACCTGAGCGACGGCAGACCCTTCTCCCTTCCTCAGCACTGGTGGCTCTCTCCAGGTTGTTTATATCCATAGAGACGGGGGAGTATCTAGAAGAAAAGCCAGAATTAGAAGAAGAATAATTTGAGACTGGATTTGCAATGCTTTTAGTTACCTTTTCTCTTTTGTCTACATTCACCTTTTCTAGTGATACTTTATGAATGCCATGAAAGTAGATACATTTTTGAAAAAACAGAAGACAGAGGACATGGCACTGTTTTCAGTCAGTGGAGAGTTTCTTTTATCCATCTAATGTGTTAATTGATTACTGAAATTACGGGTTTCCTCTGGCTTAGCTCTTTTTACATGCACAGCTTTATTTGTATGTGATCCTACCAGTTAACTGGGCTTCTGGAATTCAGGGCCTTCTTTTGTGCCTAGAGAGTCCAAGTGAAATCTCAGACTTTACCAATTCCTCGTACTGGGACACTGGGGATGCTGTTCAGCTTCTCTGTGCAAAGCCTCATTAAGAAGAGTTAGAACAAAGATACAAACACTGAATTTGCAGCCATGTTTAAGCTAGCATGGGCACAGCTGTGCTATTGGAGAAGATGTGAGTGTCCAGTATCTGTTCTCACTTGAACTCACAATGTTACAACCTCAGCAGTTACTCTTTTTCACTCATTGCTTAAGGACTGTTTATAAGATAAGTTATTAATATTGTTTTGAGTGATGATGAGCACACATCTTTTCATCTTATTATTTTATAGTAAGGAGCTGTGGCCTGTAATGGACAAGTGGATTAAATACAGAAAAGGACATGCGAACATTGCGTATACTCCTGATATTATTATAGCATCAATACTGAGGCTGATTGGTAAGTTGTCTGTTTTTTTTTTTTGTTTGTTTGTTTTTTTCTTGTTATTGATATCTTGGTGGTAAAGTCGGGAGTAATTATATAATAACATATGCTGACTTTGAAAATTTTCCATAATGATTGATTTCACAACCATCAATGTAGATACTTTTGTGCTTAAGTCATCTTCCTTTCTCTTTCTTTTTAAATTATTGTTTTATCCATTTTTTCAGAGATTAAGATTTTTCACATCAGTATATTTTAGTTATAATTGACCTCTTCTTAGATACTAATGATAATATACATAAACAGTAGGATATATAGGTTGTTATAAATTACACTGTAGTTTCATTTGGGTTCTAAAAGGATTAAGTCTTTTTGCATTGCTATAAAAAACTGTTGAAGGTGGGATAATTTATAAAGAGGTTTCATTGGCTCACAGTTCTGCAGAGTTTATAGGAAGTACAGTGCTGGCATCTACTTGGCTTCTGGGGAAGCCTCACGGAGCTGTCAGTCATGGTGGAAGGTGATAGGGGAACAGCCACATCACATGTGGAAAGCAGAAATGACAGACGGGTGGTGGGGAGGTGTCATACACTTTTACATGATCACATCTCCTGTGAACTCAGAGCAAGAGCTTGCTCACGCCAGGGATGGCCCAAGCCATTCACCATTCATGAGGGATCTGCTCCCATGATCCAGACACCTCTCAGTAGGCCCCACCTCAGCACTGATGCTTACAATTCAACATAATATTTGGGCAGGGACGGATATACAAACTATATCCAGGATATCTTCACACTACCTGCCCCAGATTTTTCATACTTGCCCAAAAGGGTCACCTAAGTGAATTACAGAAGTTAAATGATTGTTTAAAAATATTTTAAATGAGACATGGATTCTTCTTAATCTCATATTTAAAGAGGACCTCAGTGGCCATTTGGTTCTCCTTCCTTATTTCCTATGTATTATTAGTTTTTATTTTTACTTCTCTCCTATGAATCTTTAATTTTTATTTAATTTTTGTCTTGTCTTCAACAAGCTGCTCTCCAGGCTCTGCAGAATTATCAGTGATGAGATCTGTTAATTAGAAAGCTCTCTTAGACACAAAAAGCCCTTCAAAAAATCATTGAATCTAGGAGCTGGTTTTTTGAAAAGATTAACAAAATAGATAGACCGCTAGCCAGACTAACAAAGAAGAAAAGAGAGTAGAGTCAAATAGACATAATAAAAAATGATAAGGGGGATATCACCACTGATTCCACAGAAATACAAACTGCCATCAGAAAATACTATAAACACCTCTATGCAAATAGAAAATCTAGAAGAAATGGATTAATTCCTGGATACATCCATCCTCCCAAGACTAAACCAGGAAGTCGAATTCCTGAATAGACCAAAAACAAGTTCTGAAATTGAGTAATTAATAGCCTACAAACCAAAAACAGCCCAGGACCAGATGACATCACAGCCGAATTGTACCAGAGGTACAAAGAGTAACTGTTACCATTCCTTCAGAAACTATTCCAAACAATAGAAAAAGAAAGAATCCTCTCCAATTCATTTTATGAGGCCAGCATCATCCTGATACCAAAACCTGGCAGAGAAACAACAAAAAAAGAAAATTTCAGGCCAGTATCTCCAATAAACATCGATGCAGAAATCCTTGATAAAATACTAGCTAACCGAATCCAGCAGCACATCAAAAAGCTTATCCACCACGATCAAGTCGGCTGCATCCCTGGGATGCAAGGCTGGTTCAACATACTCAAATCAGCAATTGTAATCCATCACGTAAACAGAGCCAATGACAAAAACCACATGATTATCTCAATAGATGCCAAAAAGGCCTTCAAGAAAATTCAGCATCCCTTCATTCTAAAAACTCTCAATAAACTATGTATTGATGGAACATATCTCAGCATAATAGCTATTTATGACAAACCCATAGCCAATAGCATACAGAGTGGGCAAAGGCTGGAAGCGTTCCCTTTGAAAACCAGCATAAGACAAGGATACCCTCTCTCACCACTCGTATTCAACATAGTATTGGAAGTTCTGTCTAGGGCCATCAGGCAAAAGAAAGAAAGAAAGGGTATTCAGATAGGAAGAGAGGAAGTCAAATTGTCTCGTTTGCAGATGACATGATTATATATTTAGAAAACCCCATAGTCTCAGACCAGAAACTCCTTAAGCTGATAAGCACCTTCAGCAAAGTCTCAGAATACAAAATCAGTGTTCAAAAATCACAGGCATTCCTATACACCAATAATAGACAAGCACAGAATCAAATCATGAGTGAACTCCATTCGCATTTGCTACAAAGAGAATAAAATACCTAGGAATACAGCTTGTAAGGAATGCGAAGGACCTCTTCAAGGAGAACTACAAACCACTGCTCAAGGAAATAAGAGAGGACACAAACAAATGGAAAAACATTCCATGCTCATGGTTAGGAAGAATCAATATTGTGAAAATGGCCATACTGCCAAAAGTAATTTATAGATTGAATGCTATTTCCATCAAGCTACCATTGACTTTCTTCGTAGAATTAGAGAAAACTACTTTAAATTTCATATGGAACGAAAAAAGAGCTCGTATAGCCAAGACACTCCCAAGCAAGAGGAACAAAGCTGGAGGCATCACACTACTTGACTTCATACTATCACTCCAAGGCTACAGTAACCAAAACAGCATGGTACTGGTACCAAACAGATATGTAGACCGATGAACAGAACAGAGACCTCAGAAATAACACCACACATCTACAACCATCTGATCTTCAACAAAGTTGACAAAAACAGGAAATGAAGAAAGGATTCCCTATTTAATAAATGGTGCTGGGAAAACTGGGAGAAAAAATGACTTGTAATCCTTTTCTTTTTTTTTTGAGATGGAGTTTCGCTCTTGTTACCCAGGCTGGAGTGCCATGGCGCAATCTCGGCTCACCGTGACCTCCGCCCTCTGGGTTCATGCAATTCTCCTGCCTCAGCCTCCTGAGTAGCTGGGATTACAGGCACGCGCCACCATGCCTGGCTAATTTTTTGTATTTTTAGTAGAGACAGGGTTTCACCTTGTTGTCCAGGATGGTCTCGATCTCTTGACCTCGTGATCCACCTGCCTCGGCCTCCCAAAGTGCTGGGATTACAGGCTTGAGCCACCGCGCCCAGCCTGTAATCTTTTTCAAATCAAGTCTGTCCTTTGAATCTTTAGAATTCTGCCTATTGAAAGCCAAGTAATTTGACTCTTTAATAATCTATATTATTTAGAGTAATATATGCATACTTACATAATTAAGAGTGATATATAACACAATTATAGAGAATAAGAATAATTTATAATTAATAATATATAATTGACAATATCATGTAATAAAATGCTAATATATAAACGTATAAAAGCTGTTCAGAGGATGGGTAATTAGAAAGCATAATGTCGAAATAAGAGCAAAGTCAGGAAGAGTAAGCCCTTCCCAGGTCTTCTGATGAACTCGTGTGCATGAGCAAGATGGGTGTGGGGAGGCTGGAGCGCAGCCCAGCGGGCTACCATGTGTGCACAGGTGCGCCAGGGCAGGAGAGCGGCAGTAGAACCTGGTCCTGTCTGTCTTTTTGGTGCCGTGGCACTGCGTGGAGGAGGTGGGACTCAGAGCCAAGCAGTTGCCAGGTGACAAGGACAGTAGTGTGGACTGAGGGCAAGGGGTGAAAGTGAGTGAGGCCTGCTGTTTAGGCCTGGCAGATTTCTAAGAAGTGACAGTAATATCCCCACCCCCAACATGTGTGCGTGCGTGCGCACGAACACACACACACACACACACACACACACACACCCATCTGGATTGGGAGCTTGAATTGTTTCTAAGACAAACTTAGTGAACTTTCTCGACATTTCTGAACTGGACCTTGATTGAAAAATTGAGTAAAAAATCAAGTTGGTAGGCTGTGATTTAATATTAACTTAAGTCACATAGTAATCTTCATAAAATAAGGGAATTGTCTTTATTAATTCAAAATTTATACATCCTATTAATGAGATTTTTACTCCATGGAAAATAAAACAAGCTTTATGTCAGTGAGACTGGTGATATGTAATGTTGGATTCAGGTTGTGAGCATTGCTGTTAGCACATGGTCACAGGGTTAGTACGTGGGGTTTACTACAACATACCTTAATGATAAACTATTAAAAGCATTTTGTGGAATGCTCAAATTGCTCTAGAGTCACGGAAATGAGGAGGATAGAAACTCATCGCACTGCAGTGCTCATTTCTTGGCAGAGTTGAGGCCTAAAAAGGTTAAGCCTTTGTCTAAGGCCATCCAGTGGAAAGGTAGCAAAGTTGGGACAGAAATTTGCCTACCACTGGATTCAGTGGTATGTAAAGCTGCAGATACCATCTTTCTTCCCCAAAGAGAGAAATCCTGAATAATTTGCCCCTATTCGTATTAATTGGAACCCAGAGCTAGAAAAACACTGTGTCACATGTTAGGTTTCTACTGATTAGACTGAAGTAGCCTTTATTCAGTGATTCTGTCTATTCTCTTAGCAGTTCTGTCAGCTTTCCTTTGGAATTGTGTCAGCTCACCATTCCTTTGCAAACTTGCATCCAAAATCTTAAATGAATACCCTGCTGTCTTTATCTTCTAATTAGTGTTTATTAGAAGGGTCTGCCTTGTAGACTTACTTTGTGTGCAGGCCCTCAGCTCTCCTCAGGCATTGTCATGGACCTTGAGATTAACTCCACATTTCTTATTTGTATTATAATATGGCTGAATGGCCCTGGGCCTCCTTACATACCTGTGGGGAGCTCTTTCTCCATCATTTAGCCACTGTCATCTTTGTCAGGTTATCATATATTGAGTCTTTTTCACCAAATCATCTACTCTAGACTCATGATTTCCTCTTACTTTACTCCTGATGATAGCTCCATTAATTTAAATCGCTTTTAAAACTGAATTTCATTAAGCGCTTTTAATTGAAAGAAAGGGAGTCATTATAACATGGTTATGTATTTCCTGGGAACACGTGCACATCGCATGATTCAGTAATGTCATAGCTGTGTTAGATGCACCTCCCTTTCTCTGCTGTTAGTCATACATGTAAGGTCCATGGTAGGTTGTTTCAGAGGACAGATCCAGTGGTATGCTGTTAGCAGTTTAATGTCATTGCAAAGAGATATTTGCAAGTGGTCAGTAACCTGAAATTTCTGATTTCTGAAGTAAAGTACTTTTCAATTTCCTAGGCTCCCTAGAAATTATTCACATATTTACAATGTCATCTTAAATTGGGAGTTATCCTGATATTCTTTGATCAGTAATTATTTACTGAGCATCTGTTGTGTATCACAGTATTCGGGCAGCACGCACCTAGCATTAAGCTAGTTCCTATAGAGGATGCAGAGCAATGCAAGTTACTTAAGTGCTCCATGCTTCAATTTCTCCACATTTAAAATGGAGATGAAACTAATCTACTAGATTCACATATAGACCTGTGGGACATTTGTAGTATTGAGAGATAATGTGAACACAGAACACTGAGCATACAATATGACAATGTTGTAAAAACACATCCAAGATATGTTCTGCAATCCTCCTCCTACTTAAGTCAAAAGAAGGTGAGGACTTGCCTAGATGGAGGAAACAGGATTTCACATTGAAGCAAGTTCTCATCCATAGGAGAGCCCCTGGAATAAGGAACAGCTCCAAGTGTGGGGAATGATGGGAATGATGCCATCCTGCCTGCTTGAGCCTTTAGTGAATTTGGCCGCCGTGTGATCTCGATCTTTGAATCTTTGGTCACATAGTAATCTGTTAGTTATTACTGAGAACCCGCAAAGAACTTTTGTTACTCCAGGTTATATCTTTCTATATTTATTGTATCAGTAATTAAAAACTGAAAAATTATTTAGTTACTCATTTTAAATGAACAGTAATGAACTCATAAATGACATTTTTAATGAAAGGTACCTATATTCCCAAAACAAACAAAAAATGATGGGAATGGCATTGGCTCGTTGCAGACCTTTGTACTGTGGTTTGATTCAAGATGGCCGATTTTTCCTGATCTGTTCTGCATTCGATCTCCTATGTGCTTTGATATACATGAGACTGAATAATGAAGAAAAACCATTCTCATACGACCATGTAGTTGATGAAGGGCAGAATCTTTTAATAACCTTTTCAAATAATGGATATTCTTTTTGGATACTGTAATAAAACTCAGCAAGTAATAATTTTCTTAAAGGTTACTTGAAGTGTGAAATCTGAAATTCTGTCAGTGAGCTTTTTGTACCTTGTTACACTCAAATCCATTGATCTAGCTTAAATGTTGAAGGGATCCTTTTGCCCACTTAGGATTTTGTAACCCACATTATTCACTTGGAAAGTAATTGATTCACATAGATCTTCCAAATGCCAACAATCCCCCAAAACACATTAATATCACCAGTCTCATCACAGAAAAGTCTAAAATATTATAAAGCTGTCAAGTTCAGGGTAACTGATGAAAATTGTTCCAAACTTTTAATTTTGCTTAAAAGCTCAAAGGTTATCATTGACCACGAGTATAAATTTTGTTTAAGTTACAGTCTCACTTCATTTATCATTGAAAAAAATCTGCCTTGTTCCAGTTAGCCATAGTTTGGCAATTCTTTCAATCGGAAGTGGTGTCCTATGAAAAAAGTGCCTAATTTCACTCACAGCACAAACAATTGCATAAGTGCATTTCTTCACAACAACCAGTGCACAGCATGTGACAGAGTTCTGTGCTTAGGGGTCCAGGTTTAGTGAGAGTAATCGTGACTAAGAGAAATTGGCTTTTTAACTGTGAGCACCTGGCAGTGAAGAATAACTCTGATTATCAAGGTGCCATTGTCTTGACTTGCACTCAGAGTCCAGTAGTTTGATCTCCTGTGGCTTTCGCACCATCAGACCACATCTCAGCACTGGGAGGGAGGCACGTAACTTCTTAGCATTGTTGTGAAGTAGTTTTCCTTAGAGGACTCTAAGGTTTCTGCAGACTACACTTGAGAATTACTGTTCTGTAGTGTAATAGCAGTTGCCAAAGTGTCAGACTAAAAATACACACTACTTGGTGGGGCCATAGTCTTGTCTTTGATCTGTTAACAGAAGTCAGGTGTTTCTCATTGGCCCTAGTGAAACCATTCTTTCTTCTAAATTATATTTATTTCATTATAACTTAGAAAGCAATACAGTATTTCATCTGTATAGGTGAATGCAAGAAGAAATGATTAGGCATTTTGATCACCTCCTGTAAGAGAAATGGAACTTTAAATTCTTATGAAAAGTTAATCAACATTTCATTGGACTGTCTACATTTTGTTTTGCTTTGTTTCCCCAGGTCGTTTAGGCCAGTTGGGTTTGAAAGAAGGATTTCCATCTGCTGTGAAAAATATTAGTTCGGTTATCGGTATGTTTATACAGCATGCTCACGATGAAGGTAAACTTAAGTTTATTAAACTTACTTTCAAGTAACTTGTGTTTCTCAGAGTTAAACCTTTCTTGGGGTCCGTACAGTGTGCTGTGCTCTGTGCTTCTCTTGCTGCCTCATAGATTAGGGATTATTTGCAAAACATTTCAGCATTAATATTGGAATGCGTATGTGTATTTTGTGGTGTTATTTACCTAATGACAGTCATTTGCCCTGTTGGGCACTGCTTCCCTAAGGAAGAAGGAACTCTCTTTTCCTGGGGCCAACATTCTGCCTCTAAAACTCTGTATTGTGTGATCTCTGGCAAGTGACTTAACCTGGGCTCTCTGCGAGGCCTCCTGGATGGTGCCGTGTCTTGACGGAATGAAATCAGTGATGTCCAGTGAGATGCCAGGTATCATAGAGTTTGGAAACCTGGAAACCTTGTAAGCAAGGCTTCGTGGTGGGGATTTCTGTTATCACTTACATATTGCACAGCATGTAAGTTTATGTCTTATTCTTTTATGGGAAAAGCTTAACTCAAAGTAACTCTGACAAGGGATGAATCTAGTTTCTATTTTGAATATTGTATAATCAAGGAATAATACAGTTAAGTAACATTCCATCAGAAAAGCACAAAGTGACATTTTAAATACTGTGTTAACACCCAAGATTATCTTAACATGGTAGGTTATTTGTCATCATCAGCTTTCACTGGGAGATTGTATATTGAGCTTAATGAGAACAGTGCTTCTCGTTGAGCTGCTTTCTCTGAAATAACCTTCTTTACCTTTAGGACAGCTGCTGAAGTGATGCACACTTCTTCCATGCAACAGTGTACTTCTTTACAGCTGAGGTTGTATATTGACATAAAAGAAAGTAGCCAGAATAATGGCTGATGGGTTGTCTTGCCAATAGATGCAGGCTTACTCTGATCCTGGGGTGAGTGTGACCTAGAGGCTGTGGTAATCCTCATCCCCATGAGGTAGGAGGAGGAGCTGATGTTGGGTACGGCTTTGATTAGACCCTGTGCATGGCACTGCCCCACAGCGTGATAAGAACCCCAAGACAGCCATCTGACTGGATGGCATTGTCTTTCTTATATACGGGAAGAAACTAAAGCTCAGAGAGAAGAGTGATTTGCTGAAGGTGAGGCTAGGGAGTGCCATTCCAGCTGTTTGCCCAGGCCTGTCCGTCTTCAGAGCCCTTGCTCTTTAAACAGTGCCACCTGCTCTTATAACCTCTTGTGTTTCTCCTACTGTTAAACTTTTTTATTTGTTCGAGTCCTGGCCTTACTATATACCATACTCTGTGCTTTCTCACTGCTTGTAGTTTACCAGGGGAAGTAATTTTAAGAGGTGCGGTTCTGCCTGCATTTTCAGCATTCATGTTTGAATGTGCGGGCTTTTGTGTTTGAAATGGTGCTAGTTTGCTTTGTTGGAGAAAACTGAGATACACATTGAGTGTATTTTATTTGAAATGCTTGTGACCAGAAGTACAGACTTCAGAATTTTTTAAATATTGGAATATTTCCTTTATATTTACTAGTTGAGTGTCCCTAATCATAAAATAAAATCCTTCAGTATTTTCTTTGTGGGTCTTGTTGGTGCTCCAAAAGTTTCAGCTTTGGAGCATTTTCGAATTTAGATTTTTGGAGTAGGAATACACAACCTATATGTAGTTAATAAACTTTAACTTCTAAATTGTTTAACCTAAATTATTTAAGTAAGTTAAATTTTAACTAAATTAAATTTTAATAACTTTGAAATAAACTTACCTTAAAAGAGAACTGCGATAATGTATGACCTAGCTATAATCTAGAATAATATACTATACTGTAGTTTGTGAAAGTGTGGTATGATACAAAAACAATTTTCCATTATATCTCATTTAATTATACTTTTCATTTCCAAAGTCTATTTATAAATACTTCCTTGGATATCTCATAGAGTTATATGTTTAATGAGTATTTTAGGATCACAGTTTATTAAAACTTAAATATGGGAGTTTTGGGCAGCTCAGTGGTGGCCATGGGTGACTGGGACTTTGAGGCCCTCTCCCTTTTACAAACACACCAGCAGTCCTCAGGACACTGCTGTGCCAGGAAGCTATGGACAGCTGCTGCCAGGCTTTTTTTTTTCTTTTTTATTTGTAGACAGGTCTTAAATCAATTTTTTGATTGTGGGTTTTTAAAAAATATTTAATTTTCATTGCTGGCAGAAAGTATTCTGTATTTGAATAGTATTTCAGTAGGTTACATCACTACAATTTTGAATAACAGATATTTTCTTGTTTTATGACTGATGTGACATTTCTTTTCAGATATACCGTGGGGTATACAGTTAGCAGCCGTGTACGCTCTTTGTGACTTGAGTCCCAGCAATCCGGCAGAAATTTTCAAGATCCTGGAAGCCTGGCGGAAAGAGGCCTCCAAAAGTGTTCCATCTGCGATTGTCAGTTGCCTAGAGGAGGTCAGTGCCCTGAGCACAGAGGGGCTTGGCTGACCCGGGTTGCCACTGAGGCTTGAGAAGTGCCTTGACACATTTTGAACACAAATAGTTTGATCAGCTTTGAAAATACAAGGGAGGTTTAAAAAAGAAAGACATAAAATAGATAAAACCGACCAGAGGCTCTCCTTATTGTTCAGCAAGGAGGCAGGAGAAACAAGCAGTCCCATAGTCGTTTTTCCCTAAATCTCATACATTTCACTTAAGGCTGTAGTGATTATGTGACATATGGGTTATATTATTGTGTTTTGGTCAAACAACAAAAACTTGAACTTAGCCCTTTTTTTGCTGCAGAAAGTGTCCTTTTAGTGGCTTTTTAAAATTGAGTGGCATTTTATAATGAATTTACCAATATAAAAACATGATTTAGTTCCTGAGCAATTGTGGGACTTGTGCTCCAATGAGTGACTCGGAAAAAATAAATTGGCAAAAAACTTAGAGTTTTCTGCTATCTTATCTGGAAATGAGTTGCAAAAGTTGGTCTTAAGATGTAGTATGTAAGTGATCAGAGCAAAACATGGAGATCCCTCAGCAGAAGCCCACTTTAATGCATTTTCTTCATATCCCTAAAGTTCCTTAAAAATAGTGACAATGTATCAGGAAGAGGAGAACTGAACAGCAGAAGTTCCCTTGCAGATTTTTCTATCAGTGACATGTAAATGAGCAATTCACAGAGGAGTGCAGGAGAGCTCTGTGCCGTGTACATATGGACCGGGCTATGATGTGTCTCACATTTGATGATATTCCACTTTCGGAATTTTAGTATTTGTATATAGAAACTGGGTTTAATAACTCACCATGGTTTTGATTTGTCTTATATTCATTATTTCTTAAAACTCTTGTATGTGTTTTTTATAATAAAAAATAAAAGTAAGCCATAGATGTTACTGTTGTGATGATTAGAGTGACACTGGGCATTACTTGTGCTCCACCGAAGGTGAAGACGACACTCTAGCCAAAGACAGAAGACGATCATTCCTAAGGAGACTTGCTTCCTGGTGATACAAACATCGCATTGCCGGTACTTACCCGGCTTTGAATATTTATGGAGATGCTCTTTAGTGATACCAGATGCCAGGTAATTAAGTGCTCACAGGTACCCATGATCTGATTTTTTGTTTAATTACAGTTGCTGCCCTTTAACAATTGCATTTGGCAGCAATTTTATTTCTCCTTTCTTAAGTAATTACAACGGGCATAACTGAAATCTTTAAATCACTCGGTCGCCCTTTTGGAAGCTTTGTGTTGATAGAGGCATTCTTACTACCAATATATTGAGCATATTCTCTCTTGGTGGGAGGACCCAGTCACATGGTATTTGGGTAGAGGAGAATCCTAAACAAGTAATCACCCGGTAAATACAACAATCATAAATAGGAGAAATAGCAACAAGGAAAACATGGAGATTTGCATATAGAGTAGCAGAGTAGACACCTCTTTCCATGTGTTGGTCAGTGGGGGTCTTTGAGGAGGTAACATTACAAGGACCTGGATCGAGGGACCTAGTCTTGAAAGCAGGCAGGAGGAATGTCCCGGCCAGACTGGGGAGTGCAGCCCTGCAAGGCAACAATGCTTTGAGTGCTGAGATCAGGTTACATAAGAAACTGCGAGCCACTCAGGACAGCTGGGAGCACTTTGATGCTGAGTGGCAGTCGAGGCTCCAGGGAGATTTGAGCAGAGATGTCACATAGATAGTTCCCCAGGGCTGTTATGAGGAAAGGGGATGTAAGAAGGGCAAGAAGTGGATTGGAGAGACCTGTATGGAGGCGACTGCAGCAGGTGGAGCTGGGAGCTGATTGATGGCGGTGAGGGTGCAGATGATTAAGAGCAGATGGACTTCACATCTGTCGGGGTAAAATCGATGCTGTGTTCATGAAGTGGCAGGGAAGAATCAAGGAAGACTCGCAGGGTACTAAGTTGAGCACCTGAGGTTGGGGACAGGTGCACAGGTTTAGGAATTACAGGTGGTAGGATTCGAAACTCTTGAGCTTTCCCTTTGGAACATGGGAACCATGAGGCCTCCAAGTGGGGCCTCTTTAAAGATGGCGGGGATACTTTACAGGAAAAATTCTATAGAAGGGATGTGGCAGAGCTTTGGAAGTTGATAGCATATAGAGACTACTTAAAGCTGTGTGTGTTTCTGCTTTCACCTGGGGAGAAAAATAACTTCCCCTCAGTACCTCCTATAATTTGAAAGGCGGTGGGAGAGGGAGAAGACGAAAGGCAGGGCAGGAGGTGGTGTGGGAGTAACCTTGGCAATCATTCCCCATCCAGGCACTTGGCTACCTATGTGGCCGGAAACTGCAAGGTTAGGTGAGGTGAGTGTCTCTGGGTGGCAGTGACCTTGGTGAGCATCTCCCAAATAGTGATGGGCTTGGAATGTGTTGCACAGTGAGTGGGAAGTATGGAAGAGAGACATACCACAGGGCGTGGTAGGCTGAGTCTGTGGAAATTGTGCTCAGTGAGTGGATTTGTCAGGCGGTTCAGACGTGGTAGACCTCAGCAGGCATCTGTGTTTTTATTAGTGGAGAAGAGGCGCGCCGCTGTTGATTAGCACCAGCGCTAACTCTTGAGTTTACTTGGCAGCATCCACTCCATAGTAACTGATGATAGGCTTGACGTTGCCCATGGTACTGTTAACCCCAGAGTCTGGAACGGTTTTAAGCTGTTATTAATTTCTGGTACACAACCAGAACATTGTTGTAAGGTTTTATTACTTAAACCAAAAAAAAAAAAAAAAAAAGAAAAAGAAAACTGTAAACACAAAAATAAATGAACACCTCATCCTGGAGTTGGGTGAGGCTTTCGACCACGCTGGTGCTTGGTGGCTCAAGCTGGTTCCCCTGCAGCTTGATAAGCCTTTCAGTGCAGAGCTCAAGATGATTACCTACTTCGGAGTGTCATTTTCCACAGAGCAACTACTTGGTTGCATTGTTTAATTTGTTTCTTAAGATGGGATTGACAGTATCCCTCAGCAAGTTTAATTTTTAAGGAACATGAAATAGAAATAAATTCATACCTCGGCCTGGAAAGAACCGCACTGTAGCCATTAGAGGGCGCTGTAAACTCACCCGTGAACAAGCCATCCAGAAGGGAGGGAACCTTCCTAACTGGAGAGGCCGTCTGGGTGCAGAATTTTGCGTTCTGAGAGCCTATCAGGGAAACATTTCCATTCATGTTTGTTCCTTGTACTTCCTAGGTACATTATCAAGAAGTATATGGGGAAAACATGTGGATAGAATAACATGTAAAATTCATGATTTAAGAGTATATTTCAAAAAAAAAAAATTAAAAAGCAAATACTTAAGTGGTTTGACCAAAAAACAGCACAAATAACAACAAAACAAAACCAAAAAGAAAAAGAAGTGTCAGGTGAGTAACTGGTGGTGGCAGTGAAGTGAATGGGTAGGTTGTGTCACTGGCACCTGATGAATTGGTGTCAAAGAAGCTTGTCAATCAAGTCACCCTGCCCACACTGAACGTTACTTTTTTCAAACATTCCTGACACGTCATCTTGTGTAGAACCATCTTACAAAGAATCTAATCAACTGGCCTCACTACGAATGCAACACTGTTTCAAGGAGGGGTGCTTTAAAAATTTAGAAGAAAGTTGAAAAAGTCAGGTCTATAAACTTGTAAATGCTTTCCTCTCTTGCTTGATTCCATCTGCCTGACGCTTTCTCAAAAAAATTCAGAGTGTATAATTGTGAAACAAACAAGTTCACTTTCTTGCCCCTCTAAGGGGAATTTTGAGGAATTACAGAGCCCTCACTGTATTGCAGTCAATTTGTTTAACACAGTTAAGTTCTGATTAGTAGAGGCAAAAACGGAACTGTGAGTGAAGAGCCATAAAACTGATAGAATTCAGTTTTATGAAAATGAATGCTTTTGCTTGCTTTTATGAACTTTGTGTTTTTGCAAAGGACGTTAGTACCTTGGAATGCCCTGGCTCAGGCCACCACGCCTCCTAAAAGCGCACAGATGTGCCTCATCAGGGTATCAAAGTGCCAGCATTCATATTGGGCCCAGCCCTCATCCTCTAATTGCAGCTTCCATGGGGTCTGTCTGCAGTGGGGAGAAGAGTGGGGAGGCTATATCGCACATGGGTTCTTAGGAGTGGAGATTATAGAGCTTCACCCATAACTCCTGAGTTTGAAACTCTGGGGGTGCCTCCAGGTGACATGGATGCCCCCAGCAGTTGGGGGAGACACGGCCGGTAAGTACCCCGAGCATTGCAGCCTGCTCTTTTCTGCCCTTGAGGCCTGCCCCGCCCCGCCCCCAGCGGCCTCTGCCTTCTCAGCTGCTTTCTGTCTTTAGAGGGTCACAGCTCTGGTGTCTAGATGGCTTTCCCCACTGTCCCACCTCTTGATCCATTTCTATGGAAATTTGGAAAGAGGAGAAGGTAAGCTGTTTACTGCCTTCCACCACAAACGGAATCTAATCCCTAACGGGTTTTGTTTTGAAATTTTCCCATAGTATTTAAGAATATTACTTTCCCCTTAACAGTCATCAATTGCTGCTGAGATAATCTCACCCTAAATTACGAATACACAACTGAAATACAAGCTCATAAGGGAAGGCTAGGAGCTGAGAATGTATGCCCTGGACTGTTACACCTTCCACAGCCATAAACTCACCCTCCTAGGTACTGTTTTTCTGTGTTTATTTTTGTTATATGCTTTTTAGTAGTTTCACTTGTAATGCAGTATGTACTATTCTTTAACCATCTCCTGTTACCTGTGTATTATTGTGTGCATGTAGCACATTAAACACTGAAACGGGTCGACACTGGAATGTCCTCTCCCTGGGGCCCAGGCCCTTTTCTCCAAGGACTGCACTGACTGGCCGGTCTTTGACTGCCCTCGCTGAGATGCCTGCGCAGGTGGGGGTCTCAGGGCTGGGGACGTCGCCTTCGTGGTCCCGCCCCTAGCCTGAGGCCCTGAGGCCCGGCGACCCGGCCTGCGTCTCTGCAGTGACCGCCCCCCCCAGCCCCGCCTCCGCCTCTGCAGCTTCGCCCCCGCAGCCCCGCCTCCGCCCCCGCAGCCCCGCCTCCGCCTCCGCAGCACCGCATCTGCCTGCAATCCTGGCCTCGGAGGCTCCACCCCGCAGCCTCAGGCCCCACCCCGCGCCCCAGGCCCCGCCCCGCAACCCCGCCCGCCCGTGCCTAACTGGAACTCGCGGCGCAGCACTCCTAGCGCGTTGGTCCCTTGCAGTCGCGCAGAGGTGGATAAAACTTGCGGTGCCTCCTTCTGCCCTCCCAGGTGCTTCTTCCTGCCAGTGCATACTCGGGCCCTGTGCCTGCGCTTGCACTGGGGAAGCTGTTCCTTGGGATGGAAGGGTCGGGGCCCCCGTGGGCTTCAGATTACTTGGAGAAACTTGTGACCCTCGGAAGCGAAGCTGATGGGAAGGCCGCGGGGAGGCTCCCTGGCGCGGGATTTAGGATTCGGGATGCAGGCTTCCTCTAGGGACGCGCCTCCTCGCTCGCTGCGGCGGACCGGGCTGTCCGGTCTGAGGCCCCTGTGCCCCGGCTTCCCCATGGCGGCTGTGCTGGAACCCCACATTTGCTGGACGCGTGTGCCAGGATCCCCGAGTCCAAGCCAACACCAGCGAGATTGTTAAAACTGTCCTTGAAAAAAATGTAGCCAAACCTTAAATGAAGTAAACATGTTGACTTTTGAATAATAATCACATTTAGAATGCTGCAACAGTTTTGTAAGAAAGCAACATCTAGAAATGTTTCGGGGGTTGGAGTTCAAAGGCTAAAGCATGTGGCCTCCGTGTCTTCGCATCCTGCTGTGCCCTACCCTATACTGAAGAGGATTGCAGAGTGACTACGTGTGTTTGTTTGTACATGCTCAGTGCTCTGCCCGCCCCAACTGCTGAGGAATCTGCTCCCATCCTGACCACTCTCAGATAATCCAAGACTCTCTCTATATTAACAGAAAACCACAGTCAGGTTTGCTAATGTTTGGACAACCCAGATCTGAGGACATCCACAAAGGAGAGCCTTGCGCACCCCCTGCGCAGAAAGAGTTGGCTGTGCACGTGAAAGTGTGCTGCGGTGGGAGGAAAGCCCTTTCTGCCCTGTATCCCTGTATTATTTAGACCACTGCTTTTGTGGGAAAGAACGAATCTCTGGAGGAAGATGATAGAGTCCTTTATTAAAAGGCATTTAGCCTACGGGAATGTCTTCTGCTAAATGAAGTCCTCTGTCAGCCTTACAGCTGCCCCAGACCTAAGAAAGGTGGATGGGAAAGGCTACAGGATCTTGAGCCACCCCAGCCATTCCAGAACGCTCCTGTTAGTCTTCAGAAGCTGTTCATACTTTTTATCTCAAGCTTCTGCTTTCAAATCACCCCTGGGATCCTGGGAAGAAGGTCAAATGGTCTACCAGGCGGGAAGAACCTACAAATTGTAGGATGTTTACTTAATCGAGCGCCTTGTTGGTGTAGAAGCCCATCTGTAAATGCAGAATTGAGCTCACCATGCTGTGGCAGCAGCAATGCTCTTTAGAGCAGTGTCACTGGCTTCCAGGAGATATGTGTTCTCCAAGGAGGAGAAAACCAAATAGGACCCTGTCCCTGCCTTAAAATGTAGAAGTGCTTTATGAAACACAATGAGCCTCTCCTAAAGGTCATTCTCCAGAATGCCAAATATATACTTATTCTTCCTGCTTGAGAAACGGGAAAGTGTTGTGTTGTCCTGGAGAGCCATCTGCATATGGTTGCTGCTCCTTCATGGAAGGAGGAAAATTGTCACTTACGGTATAAGCAGAGGGTTCTCACAAGTTTCGTTCTGAATTTCTGTAACTGAGCGCCATCCTTTATTTGCATGTTTGTTAAATCTGCAGTGGAGCAGAAAATAGAATTTTTAAAGTACTCTCCCCTGACCTTTTCTATTTTGTACTTTTTAAGGGACAGAAATTCAACCCCTATCACATTGGCAGTCATCTGGAATAATATTTTAAATGCATCTCTGTGTTTGTTAAACTTGCTTAGTGATGAGAAAGTAAGTTTTCTGGATTTTGATGCAATTTCGAAATGCAGCATGTTAATTTCTATATATTTTTCTTCTTTTTTTTTTAGCATGTTAATTTCTTAATAGATGCACTGGCATTGGAAAAACTGAAGTAAGATGAATGTAATTCTAGGAACTCTAAGCTTACTTTGCTTTTTTTCTGGCTTTCTTTAGCTTTACACACCTATTTTGTAACGCACTTAAGAGGCATGGAATTGTGAATGGTTTGTTTTTTATTCACTGGTTGAGCTTTATTTTGTCTTTCACCTGACAATTCTTTCCATTAAATTCCACAATATGGCTGAGCGAGCAGAGAGAAAGGACTCAGGGAGACAGAAATCTTAAAACTAAACAACAAAACAAACAAACAAAAAAAACGTGCTATGCCTGGCTCCCCAAGTTGATTTTTTGGTTACTATTATTACTAATCCCCTACAAGCGTTTCTGCTGGGAAGTAATGTTGATTCGGTTCCCTGGCTGTGCGCCACATGGGAGGCCTGCAGCTGCCTGCTCTTCCCAGCAGGGGGAGCTCTGCACTTTTGTCATGAACCCTGGCTCTCAGAAGGGTTCTTTCATACGGAAACCCTCCTTCTGCACACCAAGCACAGGCTTAGGAAAGAAAAGAAACAAAAGGTGAATTTCAAATCCGTCCAATGCCATCCTTTTCCAAGCATGTTCCTCGTGTATATTTTAAAGGGGACATTTCCACAGAAGCAAAGGCTGCATCAGCCAGTGGCGGGCAACACTTCTAAAGTTTTTGAGAGGGGACTTCCAATAAGAGCTTTACAGACACCGTTGAGAAATTAGACACTTCCTTAAAAAATAATCACAATATCACTTACCTGGAATTGTTGTAGCTGAAAGGGCTAGGAATACTTGCATGTCTCTCCGATTGAGGTGGAACAGGGAGCACCTATATTTTTTCCCGACTTCGTGGGTCTCCTCGCACCCCTCATGCCTGTCTTTTGTCTTGGTGTAGCAATGGTGAAACAAGACAAGTGTACCATAAATCATATTTTTATAAGAGTCACCCCCAAATTTTTGATAGGGCTTAAACGTTTTTTTCTATAGAAAATACAGTGCCCCCGAGAAATGCCCATTCAGATAATGAGAATTTGACCTCACAAGACATTTCTGCCCAAAAGACATTTCTTGGGCCAGGTGTGGTGGCTCACTCCTGTAATCCCAGCGCTTTGGGAGGCTGAGGCAGGTGGATCACCTGAGGCTAGGAGTTTGAGACCAGCCCAACATGGTGAAACTCCATCTCTACTAAAAATACAAAAAGTTAGCCAGGCATGGTGGTGCATGCCTGTAATCTCAGCTACTCAGGAGGCTGAGGCAAGAGAATTGCTTCAACCTGGGAGGCAGAGTTTGCAGTGAGCCAAAATCACACCACTGCACTCCAGCCTGGGCAACAGAGCAAGACTCTGTCTCAAAACAAAACAAAACAAAACAAAAACAGAAAAAAGACATTTATTTGCATTAACAAAACCACACTTCATTTTGTTATTCTGGCAAAGTTCCAGTGGTTTGTTAGCTTATAGAATTAGCTGTCTTTCACTATTGGGATGGAATAATTTTAATTGCTTTCTTTTGCCTTTATCTTTTATTTTTGTTTCTGTTTTATGGAGGAATGTAATAGGCAGGGATTTACCTGACGTTTTCAAGTTTAAACATAAATATTACAATATTATTTGTTAATTATTGAAGTAATGCCATGTCACTAATTTTAACTAATTAGGCATTTAAAAAATCTTTGCTTGATAAAGAGTTTTTCAGAACCAACTAGCTTAGTTTTTCTTTTAAACCAAGGAATATTTTATCTCTGTCTTCCTTAGAACATGCTTGAAAATCAGTTATTGTTATCATTATATTTGCTTCTAAAGCTAAGGCACAGGCAGGCTAAGTGAACTTAACATCAATGAAAATATGGACTTGTAAAAAGCACTGAGTAGATTCTCTAAACCTGTGTGCTGATTCCAATATCTTCATGAAGTATCCAGTGGCCTAAGATAAAATGTGTTTTTATCTCCCAGACCCTGTGGTCTCACCATCTTAAACTGGGGAAAGAAACAACAAAATGTGGCAGAAAGATCCGACTTGGTTTCTAGCCAGTTCTATCATCTTTTGGAAGAAGAAAGATGATGGTTACCTTAGGCTGGTAGAGCAGGACCTGGAAAGTGACCACAAGAGGCAGATTTGTATGGGGAAACCAACAGCACTGTATGTTTCTGGCTGCTTGTGGACCTGGGCACCAGGCACAGTGCTCAGAGCAGCCATCCCAGTGCAGATTCCACCATGCACGGGCTGTGGCATGAGAGCCATGCTGCAAGCGCTGGTAAGTGGCAGGCAGAAGCTGCAAACCAGGTCTTTCTTCCTGTGCTCTGAAACCTGCCTTTTCGCCGGCTCCTCGCACCTGCTCACTGCCATATTGTATGCATCCACACAGGAGGTTCTTTTTCTGCAAGAAAAAAGAACAAAACATAATAAGAATTTCAAGATTACACCCCCTTATTACATTGATTTTATGCCAGATAATTTCCCAACCTTTTTATATAATTCCAGATTTGATTAGACACTTCCCTTCTTAGGTCTGAAGCGTCCACAGATTTAGTCAACCAAAACATTTTCTCACAAAATCCACGAAGAATAGTTAACACAATTTCTAGTGGTCATGTAAATATATATATATGTATATATGTATACCTATCGATTCATTTAAAATTAGAAATCATTGCTAAGCATTTTAAGAAATTTATTAGGACCAGTTTGAAATTTAATTTGGGTAGAAAAGTCAGTTGGCAGGAATGATGTATTTACTTTTAAATTTAGTCATATCCACATTCACATCAACATTTACAGTGACCAAAATAAAGACTAATATAAAAATAATTTAAAGAAGATATATATGTCTGTGTGTGTGTGTGTATATAAAATAAAGACTAATACAAAAATAATTTAAAGAAGATACATATGTCTGTGTGTGTGTGTGTGTGTGTATATATATATATAT